GGGCCTCCCATCTGGGGGAAGAATGCAAACCTGGACGTGACAAGGGAAAAGTAGAAAAGTGGGCGTGGCTAGTGAAGGGTGGCTTTTACACTGCATACCACCGATGCTGATCATGTCTCATAGGTGATGGGGTTGTACCCCATCTCTGAGAGGAATTCCTGCTCTCAGACAGCAGCAGTGTTTACCCAGCTTGCTCTGTGCCTGCACCAGCGCTTGCTGTGGTGCTTTGTGTAGGGCTGGGCACTAACTCCAGTGCTGCTGTTGCCCTCATGTTCACTATGTGCTCAGGACCTTCCACCTTGTAAGCAGGGGTGGCTTCAAACCTGGCCTTCTGGCTGCACGACCAGCACCCTCACAGCTGTCCTGTCCAGCCGGTCAGTCATTACTGAATTTACATGTACCCCATCTCACATGCACCCCATTTTGAACCAAACCTCTCACTTGACTCATGAGCATCAAGTTCAGGCAGATTGCTTAAGTGTGTAGGACATCCCTGGGTAAGAAAACAGAGATCCTGTGGTATGGTATTCAAAGTTACAAGGCTAGCCAGGCATGGTGGCTCTTACCTGTAATCCCAGCTCTTGGGAACTTGAAGTAGGAGAATCTAAGGTTCAAAGCCAGCCCAAGTGACATAGTGAGACCTTGTCTCACACAAAAAAACAGTAAATGATTTACTTATTTTAAAACATTTGTTTTTGATTACTAAAATGAAAAAAATTAATGAAAAATGTACAAAGTTAAATATCCATTGGATGTAGCGGCTCGGCCCTAAACTATTTGGGAGGCAGAGATCAAGGGATCATGGTTTGAGGCCAGGCTGGGAATAAAAAAATGACAAGACCCCATCTCCATGCAGTGTGGTAAGCACCTGTTATCCCAGCTAAAGGGAAAGCACAAGTAGGAAGGCCCAGGAGGGTTCAGGCATACAGCAAGACATCTACCTCAAAAACAACCAACACAAAAAAGGAATGGAGATGTGGTTCCTGCATTACAATCCCCAGTACACACACACACACACACACACACACACACACACACACACACACACACACACACACACACACACACACACACACACACACACACACTTCACCTGATTTTGTCTCTTCCTAGCGTTTGAGAGTCTAGGAATTTGCATGTTTGAATGGGGCCCGAGTGATTCTAAGAAACATTCCCTTTCCTCTCTGTAATGCACCTCTCCACAGTGGGGTTCTGTATGAAGCAGTGATTCAGTGTGATTCACGATTCAGTGTGGCCAAACAGTTCCTGGTCAGGCGGCTCCACTCTTTCTCTTTTCTCTCCTTGTGCTCAGGTGTAGAGATGGCAGCCCTTTGTGTCCACATCCATCACCCACCTTTCTCATTGTGGCCCTTCATTTTATGAGTATGTTGTAGAGACCAACCTGACACGTTCTTTGTTTAAGGAGACAAAACACATAAACCAAGCCTCTTAAAGGCACACAGTTGAGTGACAGTCCATTCATCATGTACACTATAATCACCTCTGTCTAGTTGCAAAACATCTTCCTCAGCTCCAAGAAATCTAAACCATTAAGCAAAGTCAGCCCCCAGGCCCTTTCCCTTTTACCCGTGGTCACCACTAATCTGGGTGTTCTATGTGTTTGCTCATTCTGGATACTTCTTATACAAAATTTTATTCGTGGATCATTTAGTATGGGACTTCACTGTACCTGTTTTTCATCGTAGCATATATCAGTGTTTCCTTCCTTTTTTTGTTTTTGGGCTTGAACTCAGGGCCTGTGTGCTGTACCTGAACATCCTTTGCTTAAGGCTAATGCTCTACAACTTGAGCCACAATGCCACTTACAGCTTTTTCTCAGTAGTTTTTTGGAGATAAGATCTCAGCCTCCTGATTACAGGTATGAGCTACTAGTGCCCAGTTTGTTCCCATGCTTTCTATGGCTGAATAATATTGTCTGGTATGTGTACACTCAATGTTTTCCTCCATGCATCTCTGGGTGGACCTTGGGTTTGTTTCTACCTCTTAGCCATTGCAAACAATATTGCTATGAACAGATTGCCCAGGTACTTCTCTGAGTAGCTGTTTTTAATCTTTTTATCTCATAGGCATATACCTTCGAGAAAATTAAAGGCTCATCTGGCAATTTTATCTTTAACTTTTCAAGGAATGTCCAGACTATATGCTCCCTTTGAAATTAGCACCTTTACTCTGGGACTTTCCTACATATCAAAAATGAGGTTGCTGGGTGCTTTAAAAGGAGTCGGGACACCTGGGTTTGTTTCTTAGCTTTTGCCATTAACCAGCAGGGTTAGACAAATCCCTTTCCCTCCCTGGGCTTATCTGAAAGTAAGAGTATTTTATGAAATGAACTAATGTTTAATTAATTCTCTTAAGATTTGGTTGGAAAGTTGCCTCTTTAGGGTAAAGTGGGAGAAAAACCTTGAATCAGCTAGACGTGAATCGTATCCTTTTTCTCTTGAGTTGTTAAATTGTGAGGTAAACATATTCACAATGATTGAGCTTTTTTTTTCTTTTTTGCCTTTGTGTTTCTAGTTAATGAATCGCTTTTGGCTTCCTTGTTTCATAACAAAATATCCTTCTTCTCTTTCCCATGATATCCTACTGCTTGGGGGGTCCTGAGCAAAACCTGGTAGTCTGGAGCCAAAGCTGGAGCTATCCCACTGTCCCTCCTGAAGTTGCTGAGCCTTCCCCTAGCTCAGGTTCTGCCCACACAAGGCTTTTGGCTACAGGACCTGTGTCTCACCTTTGGCAATGTGTATACCAAGAGAGGCCTTCCTGGGCAACTTGAGAAACCGTGTAAGAGCCGTCTTAGAAGGTTAGGAAAAAGAAACAAAGATCTCTGTGATGCCTTCTAGCCAAAGCATTCCAACCCTTTTCCAGCAGGTTGATTTCCTGGCAAGAATACGTATTAACCTATAGAAAAACTCATCTTCACTGTGCACTGCTCAGACTCACAGTGAGCGCCCTCTTGCTCCACCTGGTGGTTTTCTAAAGGAATATGCACTGGTTAAAAACAAAACACGTGCTCTTACTAACTTAATCATTTGTTCCATTCTTTTTTTTTCCCCCCCATACATTTATATATCCTTTTATCATCTATTGAGACCTGCTATGTCTTTTGTGCTGTGCTATGATTAACTCAAGGAGTCAAACAACAAACAAGAGAGCAAGAGGGGCAGGTGAATGAAGTACACACACACACACACACACACACACTACACACGCGCGCGTAGTGGGGTGGGGGGTATGCATCTGTGCCTATGCACATACTCATATATATGAGGTTGGGGCTGGTATTAGGCCTTGCTGACAGGGAAGAAACTGCTAAGATGTGAATCAGTATCCTTCCACTTGCCCTACATCCGGGCACAGGGAGGCATCTCTGTTGCAGTGATTGGTGGCCTGCTTCCTACTCCAGGTCTCAAGAAGGATGTCCTTGTCCCCAGGAGCCTGCTCCTGTGCTTTATCCTTCTAGATGGATGGGAGATGGTAGCTATATACAGGTGACAAAGGACTAAGTTGCTGCCAGTTATGTGTCCATGTGGTAGACAGCTGTTAGCCCAGAAAAGCTGGAAGAAATCTGGAGAAGGCACTGCCTGCCTTCCCCTTTGACTTGGCTTGGCAGAACAGTAAACTGAACCAATTATGAAGATTGTATGTTTCAGAGCCCCAGGAAATACAGCAGTGTGTGAGCTCTCAGCTGCAGGCTTCTCTTCTTCTTCTCTCTCAGAATCCATTAAGCATCTATTTTCCTTGAACAATCATTTTTAGCCTTTTTCTTATAAGTCCTGTGCTTAATGTTGAACTATCATAAACATCACCCACTCTGTTGCTCACCGAAGCCTGTTTCTACGAGGTCACTGCCTCACTACTGCTATTGCCTGTAGCAGGACAATGCCAAGGATCACCATACCTTTATTAGGACAAAGTGTTTTCAGAAATAATTTTTAAAAATTCTTTGGGCAGCCAAGTTCATGTCCATGACCCCTAGGGCAGCTGATGTCATCCTGCTCTGCCACTCTGGGATCAAAAGACATGGCCATGATCTTTATCCTGGACCTCCACCCCATCCACACACACACACACACACACACACACACACACACACACACACACACACACACACACACACACACACACACACACACACACACACACACACACACACACACACACACACAGAGCAGGGATCAAAAGACATGGCCACGATCTTTACCCTGGACCTCCACCCCATCCACACACACACACACACACAGAGCACATGGTCCAGCAGGCTGTAGGCTTGCCATGGCTCTTCCAGCTCAGTGTGTGGCATCTTCTGAAAGCTAGGAGTGGGACTGGTGTTTTGCCTCAGGACTGTTCTGTGCAGTTGCCTTTCCTTCTACCTTCAGAAGGTGCCTCAAATAAAATAAAATAAAATTTAAAAAAAAAAAAAAAGGTGGTGGTGTGCCTTCCTGAGACAGGTGACAATGTTCAGAGATTTTTTTGTGTGTGCCAGTACTGGGGCTTAAACTCAAGACCTGGGCACTGCCCCTTAACTTTTTGCTCTAAGTTGGCATTCTACCACTGGAGCTACTTTTACTGGCTAATTGGAGATAAAAGTCTCACAGACTTTACTGCCTGGGCTCCTCAGATCTCAGCCTTCTGAGTAGCTAGGATTATACCTATTATAAGTCACCAGTGCCCGGCTAGAGACATTTTTGACTGATGGCACCCATGGGCTTTACTAGCATTTGGTAGGTAGAGGCCTAGGATGCTGCTAGACATCCTACAATGCCCAGGACAGCTCTCCTCCCCCTCCCCCACCCTCACCCCTGCCACATACACCAAGAACTACTTTGTCCCAAGTGTCAATAGTGCTGAAGTTTAAAACTCCATCCTCAGATACCCCTAATCTAGGACCAAGGGGACCCTTGAGCTCATCCAGGCCCTGTAGGGTTACTGAAGCAGACCACATGTTCAAGAGGACCTTATTGCTTCTGTGTTTCTTTCCACAGCTGAGCTCTGTCCGGGAGGCCCACTTAGAGCGGCACAAGGCAGCGAGACCCCGAGGGCTGGGGAGCAGGGAGTGGGGCCTGGTGCTGAGGATGGCCAGGCAGCAGGCACCACCCTGGGTCCATGCAGCCTTCCTCCTCTTCCTCCTCAGCCTTAGTGGTGCCATCGAGATTCCTATGGATCGTGAGTTATACTTTCTGCTCTTCTCTTTTCCCTGCTGATTTTGGGCCGAGGAGTGGGAGGGAAGGGGGTGAAGAGAAGTGAGGGAAAGCTAAGACCTGTTAAGCCAGTTGGAGACAGGATAGCAGTGGATTCTGGGGTCCAGAGCTGATTTTTCTCTCTGAAGAACTGACACGGGCTTGTGTTTGGAAATAAGAGATTGTACATTGCAGGGCTGTTCTCACAGGGCTACGCTGATGTTTGGGGCTACTGGAGGGGTTACCAGTGGTGATAGTTTGGAATTCTGAAAACCACATGATAGCCTCATATATGCAAAACGGAGCCCTAAGTCCTCTTGGCTAGAGTTCTCTGGAGGATGGAAGGCCTTGAGAGGGTTGGGAGTGGAATTATTTTACAAAAAGACCTGGCTACATAAGATATTAAAATAAAACCAACTTACAATGGTACCCTGGGAACCAGGCATGGATTCCTTGTTTCCAGATTTCCCAGAGCCTGACATGCTGATCTAACAGAGCAACAGTATGTTTACACGCCAGCCTGTGGCTGTGATCAGATGACTGGTGGCCACAGTGGTTCTGCCTGTAGGTACCTGCTCCCTTTCCATAGTTCTGACATTACTACTGGGATGTCTCCACTATAGTGTGGGCTCCACTTCTGCCCACGTCCCTTGTCTCAAGAGATGTGTGGCTCACGTGATGCCAACATGGACCTGCCCTGTCTGGTCAACAGATGTCTGAGGAGGGGCACAAGGGGTCCCCCTTCAGTGGAGCTGTCCAAAGCCAGACCCTTCTCCACCCCACATCACCATAATAGCTTCCTGAGAAGAGTGGGCACCTCTGGATGACAGAGGCCAGAAATGCATGTTGGAACCAGAAACAAGATAGGCAAGGCCCTTGTAGCCCACCCCAAATGTGTGTGAACGCATGTACACAGGGAGGGAGGAGATGGGAGTTGTGAGAGAAACTGTTCCCATGGTGACGGTCTGTGCAGCTGGCTCAAGGAGAGTTTCTCATTAACAGTCCCAGGCAGACAATCTAATAAGGAGCATGATAAGGCCACGTCCCTAGAGGGGTGGGGGTGCAGAGGAAATTGGGTTACCAGGAATGTGATGAAGGCTTGTTTCTCTTCTGCCACTTCTCACTCACCTGCCCCAGGATGCCTGGGGTCAGTGGGGGAGGAGCTCCTGCAAAGTGAACTCAGAAATACAGGGCTCATGCCTGCAATACCAACTGCTCAGAAAGTGGACAATTAGGAGGATCAGAGTTCAAGGCAAGCCCAGGCAAAAAGTTATTAAGAGCTTCCCCTCTCGACCAACAGGCTGGGGATGTGTGCACCTGTTACCCCAGCTGCCTGTGAGGCATCGTGGCGGACCATCTAGGTCCAAGCCTAGGTCCCATCAACATCATAGTATCCATCTGGAAAAAAAAGGCAAAAACCTAAAAACAAAGGGATGGATGTGTTACCTAAGTGCCTGCCCAGCAAGTATAAGGTACTGAGTTCAAATACTAGTATTGCCAAAAAGTTTTTTTAAAAAGACCTGGAGGTATAGCTGAAGTGGAAGAGGACCAGCCAAGCACCATGAAGGCCTTGAATTGGAAAAAAAAAAAAGGTTTAAAAAAGTACTACCAAAAAAAAAAGGAAGAAAAGAAGGAAAAATAGAAGAGAAGGAATGAGGAAGAACTAGCATTGACATCATTCACATTAAGAATTGAGATCTTAGCTAGGTGCTAGGGGTTCACACCTGACTTCTCAGAAGGCTAGGGTTCACGGTTTGAAGCCACCCTGGGCAGGAAAGTCCATGAGATCCTCATATCCAGAAGTGGAGCTGTGGCTCAAGTGGTAGAATGCCAGCTTTGAGCACAAAGCTCAGGGAGAGCACCCAGGCCCTGAGTTCAAGCCCTAGGACCAGCATATAAATAAATAACAGAATTGAGATCTGAATTTCACTGGAGATGGAGGCCCAGGAGGTCTCTCCCAAGTGCCAAGAGCCTTCCACCACAGTGTCCCCATCCCAGTATCCTGAAGGGAATTGGGGAACACCCTCCCTTCCCTGCTGTATTCACAGATGCTCAGCTCCGTTCTTGCTCAGGGTCACGCAACGAAACAGTGATGTAGTCGGAATAGACGCTGCCGTCACAGCTGTCCTGGGCCAGGCAGAGCTCAGTGCCGCACTGCCTTGCCACACACGTGATCCCCTGGCTAACTGGGAAGCAGAGCTTGACCTTAGCTGACCGCTTAGGAAACAGGGACGCACAGAGCCAGGAACATGGCTTCATGCCTCTGTGCTGGATAGGGGAGTCCCTGTGTCACACCAGTACAAGTAGCCCAGGCTGTGTAGATTCAGAAGGCCCCAAGTATACTGTGCCTCCCAAGGGCTCAGGCCATCAGAGCGACTCCAAGTTGAGTCTGCAGAAGCTGATTCCCAGACAACAGCAAGGCTGGCCCTTCTGACCCTTCTGGGAAGACCCAGTTGCCCTGGTAACCAGGCTTCTTCCCCAGCCTGTTCCCATATCAGCTGTGCTCACCCTCCGTCTCTGAGGGCCTCAGGTCAGAGACTCCCCTTCCAGGTGTCCCGGGCATTCTCTGTGCCTGAAGGGCTGGACGCCGCTTCTCTGGGGGGATGGGACGCAGCAACCTCCTGGACCAGTGCCCGTGGCTGCTGTACAATCCCTCATTGACTACCCAGCCTCCAGCTCCCACATTCTGCCAGTGAAGTCACACGCACCTTCCTCCCACCGCCACCTCCCTCCTCTCAGCCCCAAGGAGAACAGCACGACCTTTGAAAAAAAGCAAAGGGTCACCTCATCAGCCAGAGGAGATTTGTCCAAAAGTGAGTCTCTTGGCAGCTTGGCCCTCCCATCTCCCTCACACACCATGGGGACTTGGTGTTTCCTTCCAGAAACCCATAGAGAGGCCTGTGGAGCAGGGAAGACACTCCTACCCCCTTTCATCCAAATTGCACTGCAGGATGGCCTCAGTAACACTCCCCCACAGGCTCCATCCTGGTCCTCTGAGGGAAGAATGGGGACCAGAAGAAGTTCCTGAGGGCAAAAACAGCCTAGAGAGGCCCCTGCTCACCCTGCCAGGCCAGGGCAGAAGAGCTCTTCTCCCCCTTAGAGGACAGAGACAGAAATTCATTCTTCACTTGACAGACAGCAAGTTCCATAAAAGGAAAGGTGAGCAGGTGGTATGACACTGGATAGGGGTTTAGTCGTCCTTGTCTTGAGACAGGCCATTCCCACCGTCTCTCCCATACCCCCCATGCTAGCTTGTCTTCTAGATGGATTGTGTTCCTGTAATAAATTCCTTGGGAGTACAGGCACAGCAGTGGCTACAAATGTCATTGTCTCTTTAAGCGAGTAGATTCTAAAGAAAGGCCCTGGCCAGATGGGCTGCGTGGGGTTAGGGGCAGCAACCATCCTGTGGTGGCTGCCCTGTGAGTCTCCACCTTCTAAGGTCTCCCTTCTACCCCTTACTCAGAGAGTCAAGGGAAGGGCTCTGAGGCCATTCGCTTCTCCATCTGTGCAAGCATTTGTAAAGATGAGCCCTGGACCAAGCCTTGGAGGACTGGGGCTCCATTCCAGCTCCAGAGCACAGTTCCCTGGGGTCTTACCCATGGGGCTGCCTTTACTCTTAGATCTGAGATTCCTTGAACGAGCTTTGACTCTACCAGAGAGGCCAGAATCTGTGTGGGTGAAGAAGGAAGGTCCTGTGTCAGGCAGTCAACTGGGGTGAGGTCAGAGCCTCCTCTGAGCCTCTGCTGGACGCCAGAGCCTCTGTTGATCCTCCATCATACACGAGGATCCAGGAGACGCCACCCGGGTCTTGAAATGTAGAAACCCAGGCCTAGACTGGTGGCCAAAAGGAGTGGTCTCAAAAGCCAGCCCTGCCTGTCCTGAGAATGGTCCCTCCTCTGCCAACTGCATGGGCTTTCTAGCCTTTCCTGGGCCCCTGGTGGGAGAATGGTGTTCAGGCAGAGATGCAGAGCCGGTGCTCACAGGGCACATGTTCAGAAGCTACACTTTCCCTCTCCCTCCCTCCCCAGCCCTCCCTGGACAAATGTCACTTCAGTGCTCCCTGGGCCGCGCCACCCTGGCACACATTGAACCTTTTCATTGCTCACGCTGTAGGACTTTTCCCCTGCTGATGGAGTGCACAGTAGGGCATTCAACTGCCATGCTCCCCTGGCTCATGTCCTTCGGCCTCCCAAGCTGAGCTCTGGCCCCTCCGGGGTGCCTTCTCTGAGCCCCTGTGTTCCTCTTCCATGTCTCACTCTATTCAGGCCAGAACGCCTCGGGGTTGCCCCTAGGCCATAGCCTCCACTCCTGTCAGCAGCACTCTTTCTGAAAACGCCAGCTGTCCACACCAGTGCAGGCTCTGACATCCCCACTCATGTAAGATAAGATGCCGTGTTGCTTTTTAATAGCTTAAGGACAGGCATGTGAAATTAGGGAGGCACACGGTCTGTCTTCCCCAAATACACTGGAACCAAGATGTCCTCCCCACAAAAAACACACATCAACTAGAATCTTGCTATCCAAAGCGTGGTTAACAGACTGCCTTCCTCAGTATTCCCCCAGAACTTTTCAGAAAGGCAGACTTTGGGCTAGGAAACAGCTCAGTCGCAGAGTGCTTGCCTAGCATTTGCAAGTTTCTGGGGCCTATCCCCAGCACTGTAGGACAAAACAACCACAAAGAGAAACAGAATCCAGATTCCAGTCCAGCCCAGCTAAATTGCAACCTGCCTGTTAGCCAGACTTAAGGTGATTTGTATACTTATTCAAATCTAGAAATCAGAAACACATACACACACACACACACACACACACACACACACACACACACACACACACACACACACACACACACACACAGAGGTATGCACATCTGTGTGGGAACCCTGGTGTATTCTAGCTGGGGAAGCTTTGTGGCCCCTGCCTCTTTACCCGCTCTGGGAGCAGTGGGCTTGGCCACAGTGCAGAGGATAGAAAAGCAGGAGCCACTGAGGAGAGAGCATGCTTTCATGTATAGAAGAGGAGAGGGTGGGAGAAATGAGGCCATGGGCCTTGCTGGGTGCCGAGGCCTCCACATCTTAGGCTTTGGCCCTGCAACAGTGGCTTAGAGCCAGCACTTTTCCTAGCACCTCCCCTTTCACCATGGACTGAGGAGCCCACTTCGCAGATGGCCTCAGATACTAAGAAATATCTTCAGGGCCTCCTTGTCAGTTATGGACTTTGGACTCCTCTAATGGCCTCTCCCTTTGGTCAAAAGCTGGTCTTGCTTCATGGTGTGGTTTTGGTCTCCCAGGGAGGCCTGACTGGGTCTGTTCCTCAAGCCTGCTTGGATCTCCTATGAGTTCTGCACCTGGGAGGAGAGTGCCCCGCTCGACGTCCCCACCCCCTCTCCCTGCATGCTGGGGCATAAGGACACCTAACAGTGGTGTGTGATAACAATTTTTTTTCTTTTCTCCCCTTCCCAATGCTAACCACTGGAACTAACAGCAAGCATTCAGAATGAGCGTAAGTCCTCTGTGAGCCTCTGGGAGGCGGGAGGGAGGCAGGAGGGCCAGGTGAGGGACACCAGAGGTTGGGGACGACCCAGTGGGGTCTTCTGCTGGGGCTTCAGCTGGGGCTCTCACTCTAGCCAAGCATGTGAGATCCCTGATCACAGGACAGGGACACTTTCCCTGGGGCATCCTATTATGAGCCCAAAGAGAAGAGGGGGTTCAGAAGAGGGTTTCTGGAAGGAAGCTGTGGTGCCTTATAGATGCTGCTGCTCCCCTATCCTCCAGTGGCTGACCCAGGTCCCCCAGCTCAGTGTGGTTCCTTGGCACACGAGAAGTTGTGGGAAGTTCTCCAAGATCGAGGGCTCCCTCAGTTCTTTCTGCACTTCAGCCATCTACTGAGCCTCAGGCTCAAGAAGTACCAGGCCCTACATTCTGAAACACAGCTGCTTTGGTTTCTGCATTCAGTTCTCAAGAGCATTGTTCGCCGTGTGGTGTGCTGGGCATTGGGATCTAAGCCTGGGGGAAACAGTCTGGATTCCAGTTTCTCATAGGGGTCTTAGGCTCAGCCTTTGACTCCCACCTCCTGCAGCCCCATTTAAGAAACCGCACTTCTTGAATAGGGTTCTGCTCACACCTGCTTGCCCAGGTGGCTCCTCTAGTGCCTGGTGTTAGCCGCTCCCCAAGCCAGGACCTGGGTGAGTCCCTGAAGTTGTAACCTTGCCCCTCCCTCCTCCATGTGCCCTGCTGCAGTGACCCAGCCCCCGACCATCACCAAGCAGTCCGTGAAGGACCACATCGTGGACCCCCGGGATAACATCCTGATTGAGTGTGAAGCAAAGGGGAACCCGGCTCCCAGGTGAGTAGGGGGTAAAGGGATCCTGAGAATATGCCATTGAAACTGGGTGCCAGTGGCTCACACCTGGGATCCTCGTTACTTGGAAGGCTTAAAATAGGAGGAATATCACAGTTCAAAGACTGCACAGGTAGAACAGTCTGCAAGACTCTGTCTCCATGGGAAGAAGTTGATTGAAAGTCATGTGCCTGTGATCCCAGTGTCCAGACAGGAAGCAAGACCCTATCCTAACAATAACCACTGAAAAATAGGGCTGAAGGTATGGCTCAGTGGAATCACACCAGCCTAGCAAATATGAGGCCCAGGGTTCAAACCCCAGTAACACCAGAAAAAAAAAAAAAAGCAGAATTCAGATTTAAATGCACAGCTCTTACCCCTCAAGGTCAGGGTTGGTCCCCAGCTGCTGATGGGGTAGATGCTTGGTTGTCCATCTTCACCTCCCAGACTGGGCCCAGCGGGAGCCTCCTGCAGGCCTCAGATCAATCTCTCCATGGCATGTCCAGTCTCAGGGGACACTTTCTGGCTGTGTTCTGGCCCAGGTACTGGGGACCATGCTGCTGAGGTTTGGTCTTTTCCCCCAGTTCCTCTGTGGGGAAAAGGACTCAGGAGCAATTACCAGTCACCACTGCTCTGCTTCTCCTCCTGCTCAACATGTGTAGCCAAGCCACAAGGGCCTGGCCAGAGCAGATACATGCATCTTCCCAAGAGAAGCAGAGACAGCCCAGGCCTCCCAGACAAGCACTGTGTGTAATGCTGCCTGTGCAGGAGGCAGAAAATAGGAGGATCCAGGTTTGAGGTCAGTCCAGGCAAAAAGTAAGACCCCCATCTCAACCAACAAGTTTAGGTATGGTGGTTTGCATCTATAATTCCAGCTATGTGGGAGGCAGAAGTAGGAAGAGTATGGTCCAAGATTGGTTTGGGACAAATAGTATAAGACCCTATTTTTTAAAAAGAAGAAGAAGCTTTAAAAAAGAAATAGGGTGTACCAGTGGTACGGTATACTTGCTTTAGCAAGCACAAAACCCTGAGTTCAAACCCATTCTGCCCCCAAAATCATAATTACTGCTGGCTTGTGAATTATGTTCTTACAGAATCTCTTTCCTGCCCCCATGGCTAGTTGAATGCCTATACAGAGCCATGGTTCTCAGCCTTGGCTGGAAGAATACCAGCAGCGCCAGACCCTGGCAGTCTCTGGCAGACCTGGGTCACTGTTGTCCCTCCCCGCTGTCCACAGCTTCCACTGGACCCGGAACAGTAGATTCTTCAACATCGCCAAGGACCCTCGGGTGTCCATGCGGAGAAGGTCTGGGACCCTGGTGATTGACTTCCGCAGCGGTGGGCGGCCCGAGGAGTATGAGGGGGAATACCAGTGCTTCGCCCGCAACAAATTCGGCACAGCCCTGTCCAACAGGATCCGCCTGCAGGTGTCCAGTGAGTGCTGCAGGTGGGACCAACATTGGGAGGAGGGGAAGGCTGACCCCACCCTGGACCTACATGTGACCTCCATGGGTCTCCCACTCAGCAAGATTGCCTGGAAAGGAAGCTTCCAGATCAGAGTCTGATACAACCTCACCAGCCTCTCTGGGCATCAGGAGGGGAGAGGAGAGGGGCACCTTGAAGGTGGGCGTCTGCTCTGATCAAAGGCCTCTATCCTTCCTCCATCCTAAGGCCGTGCTCTGCTGAGCCCTCGCCTGACTCATGGCCCTGCCTATCTCTTGTCACCCCCATTCTCCAGCTCCCCTTGTCTAGGATCAGCCTCACTTCACCTCCCTGTCTCCTTCTCAGAATCTCCCCTGTGGCCCAAAGAAAACCTGGACCCCGTTGTGGTTCAAGAAGGCGCCCCCTTGACGCTGCAGTGCAACCCCCCGCCAGGCCTCCCGTCCCCAGTCATCTTCTGGATGAGCAGCTGTGAGTTCTGGAGCCTCGTCTGGGATGGGGGAGGGGGTTGAAGGATGGTTTCCCCACTCTGGAAGACTGTGAGCTGTGAGAGACAAGGGCCACATGGCTGAGAACAGATACAGAGAGGCTGCTGTAGCTGGGTGCTCTAGAACAAGTTGCTTAACGTCCCTGGGTCTCGGTTTCATATTCTGGGAAAAGCAGGACTAACATTATTATAAAGATAAATGACAGAGTACTTCTGCAGTTCTGCAGTGATTAGAAGTGATCTCTCTCTCTCTCTCTCTCTCTCTCTCTCTCTCTCTCTCTCTCACACACACACACACACACACACACACACGTGCTCTTGGTAGTATTTGTGGTACGGAAGGTTAAAAAGAGAAAGGAAGGCAAGCCCCCTCCCCATCTTTGCTCAGCCTGGTGCTCAGATTTACACAGCAAGGAGGGCAGAGGTAAAGGGGGAATGAAGCCTTTGATGAGGAGTGGCAGTTAGCAGCGTTCAGAAATTGTGCTGGCTCAATCTGAGGCTTGTGGAACATTTTCAATTAAAATAAAGGCAGATAGGGCCTTTATTTTCAAGTAGAAGTTCTCCCCCTCCCTCTTTCCCTCCCTCCATCCCTTCCCCCTTCTCCCTTACCCTCTTCCTCTCTCCTTTTCTGTGGCTTTCCTTTTCCCTTCCTCCCTGCCCACCTAGCAGCTTCTTCTGCTCCTCCTTCCATCCCTCCCTGTGCCTCCCATTTATCAATCTGTATATCCATCTAACTACCTGCCTGCCATCCATCATTCTGTCCATGCCTGCATCTGCCAACCTACTTCCAAAGCAGGCTGCCACAGAAGAAGCAGCTGTCTGCAGTGAGGCAGGCTTTGTGCAGTCTCCAGCCTTTCTCCTCTCCTCACATCTGTGGGGAGGCTGGTGGTTGGCCTGTGAATTCCTGGTTTAGATTGTCCTCTCCTCCATCTCATCTGGTTTGTCACCAAGCTGTGTCCATGCCTGCTCCCATCGGATCCCGTGCCTCCCGTCCCTCCTCACTGACCTCTCCCCAGCCTCGTCACCTTTAGCTTGTGCCTGAGTTACAACACCTAGCCCAGACGAGTCTCCCTTGTCTTCATGAAACTGTGAGTGTGGTTGTTTCATTCAGATACTGAAAGCCCTTCAGTGGCTCATCCCTCATCTTGAACTGAGATCCAGGCTCCTTTCCCTGGTCCTCCTGGTCAGGTTCCTCTCCCTCCCAGCCCTTCTAACCTTCCCTCCCTGGGCCCCTGGGCCCCTGAATGGCCTGTGTCCTGTTCGCCTTTAGCCCAGGCTCTTTCTGCTACTTAGAAACTGTAGCTCCTCTGTTCTGCCTAGCACAGGATGTCAGGGTTTAGCTCAGGGCCCCTGAATGGACTGGGCCCCTTTCTGAAGTCCCATCTATCTCCTTCCCCCCTGGAGCACCCCACTCTGAATACTATCCTACAGTTACCTGCTGGGCTGGGGCTCTTCCAGGGCAGGAACTGGTGTTCTCACTCACCTCCCTGTTCAACACCTAGCACAGGGCCTGGCACCTAGTAAGCCTAGAGCAAATCTCTGAGAAATGATTCCAAGGGCTGACCACCTCCTTGTGGGAAAGATGACATTTTTTGCTTTAAGACATGATGATTTTAAAAACAATGGGATAGGAAAAGAGCGGTCAGCTTTGAGTGCATGCTGATGGGCCTGACAGCCCTGAAACCTGGGCTGTGCGTTGGCGTCAGTGCTGAGAAAGATACTGACAATAGATTCCGCAGCCTGTGATACCATTGATTCTAAAAAGCACACTTCTCTATTTTAATACGCAAAATTTGAAGCCATCTTGCGTGTATTGTCGATGGCTACACAAATTATAATCAGGAGCTGCCCTCTTCTTAGGAAGTTCAGAAAAGAAATAAAAACTGGATCTAATCATTGTTGATGGTTAAATGTTGTTTTAAGGTGGCAAGGACAAGTTCATTTAATTCAGAAACTTGTTGAGAGCCTTCCCCTTGTATGCCAGGACCTAAGCTGGGTGCTGGGGTATAAAGATGAACCAGTCATGGCTTGGCCTCTAGGTTAGCATCTGTAAAGTAGGAATATGCCCTACAGCAGATTTGAGGGGCTTCAACCAAGAGATGTCACCCTCCTGACCCCAGCTGGTCTTCTGCAGCATTCACACATCAAATGATGGTAATGATTTTCATGGTGGCCATTACTCCTAACCCCCATCCACACCTGTGCTTTCCTTCCAGCCATGGAGCCTATCACCCAGGACAAACGCGTCTCCCAGGGCCACAACGGAGACCTGTACTTCTCCAATGTGATGCAACAGGACATGCAGACTGACTACAGCTGCAATGCACGCTTCCACTTCACCCACACCATCCAGCAGAAGAACCCCTTCACTCTCAAGGTCCTCACCAGTAAGTGTAGCCCCTGTCCAGGGCTGGGGGCCACAGGAGACAGTCTCTGAGCCCACATAGCCCTGGACACTACAGCCATCCTTCTGGCTCAGTGTGCCTGAGCTGCTGCTGCTAACCTTCCCCAGCATCTCTTGATGCTGAAGCCTTGAGTCAGTGTTGGTCCTGTGCTAGACCACTGCTTCTCAGACTTTAGTGGGAATCAGAGTCTCACAGCAAGACCCAGCCCTGTCCTACCTCGAGGGCCCCTGGAGCCCTCGCTCGCATTCAGATAACCACAGGGTCTGAGAACCACTTGCTCAAAGGTCATCAAGTCCCCCGATACCCTCAGCTTATTTCTTTTATTCTAGTCATTACATGCTTCTCTTTCTCTCTAGAAGAAAGCCAGGACATAAAATGTTAGTGGACACAACAAAGCAAATTGTATTTGATTCTGTAATGATATATTTGCTAAACTCTATGGAATCTCTTTTGCAAATTGCAGGTTTATGCTTCACTTTATTTGTTTTCATTTCTATTTCCTGATACGAATGCACATCAGCATTTCCTGACCTGCTAAAGAGTCAGCAAAGCCAGGCACTGGTCCCTCATGCCTGTAATCCTAGCTACTGAAGAGGCTGAGATCTGAGGATCATGGTTTGAAGCCAGCTGGGGCAGGAAAGTCCATGAGACTCTTATCTCCAATTAACCACCAGAAACTAGAAGTGGCACTGTGGCTCAAAGTGGTAGAGTGCTAGCCTTGAGCAGAAGAACTCAAGGACAGTGCCCAGGCCCTGAGTTCAAGCCCCACAACTCACACATGCACAGACACACATGCACAGACACACACACACACAGACGCGCACATGTACACACACACACACACACACACACACACACAGAGTTGGTGGCTCTCCGTGAGGGATGAGAAAAATTTAGTCAGAAACACAGGGATGAGCCAGCCTGGGACTTTTGCTAGAAAGCCCTCAGCCTGCATGGGATGTTGAAAATTGTTTCTGTTGGTTTACACCATGGATTTATAACATGCCTGGCATAGAAGACCCCCCAACCCAAAGATACTTCAATGTATCAGAGCTGTGCTGTGAATATTGTCAGTATAGGGGATGACAAGGTCTGTGGGGAGGCCATCTGGGGACAGGCAGATTCCACAGGTTTCTACCAGTTTCCTGGTAGCCTATGGCCCACCTTGAGGTGGCTGGCGATATCTTGGGTGCGTGCCCCTGGGAAGAGGCTTGGATGGGGTCCTGACCCCTTGGTTTTCTCCTTTCCTCCTCACTCCTTTCTCCCTTCTGGGGGCAGGACAGGCGCCTGGAGGCTCCCGGGGAAGCACGGTGGTTTGTCTGCAGTGTCTCTCAGTGTATTCAGGTGACTGACTGCCAGCTGGCTGCACTGGACAGGACAGTGTGGTCTGCCCAGGATCTCAGAGTGGCCTCAGTAACCAGGTCAGGGCTAGCATGAGGAGGAGCCAGTGGGAAGATCAGAGCTGTTCATGATGCTCTCAAGCTGACCTTGCTGAGCCTCTGTGTCACCACCTGGACCTCGCTGCTTGCCTGGGGAATGCTGCAAGGTCACCTGCTGCTCCTGAGCTTGAGCTGAGTGACCTTTGGCTGTCCCAGGCTGAAGCCAGGAAATGGGGGTCGGGGTTAGGGACTCATCCTCTGTAAAATTAAACACTTAGAGGGTTAGAAGAGGAACTTTCCAGAAACATCCTATTCTCTACCTGAGGAAGTAAGGGATATTTGTTTCTGCTTTGTTACTGGGTCTTCTGTTTCACTGGAAACTCCTTCCTCCAAATGACAGAAACCGTCTAGGTGACTGGAACAGAATCCACTGGCTTCCTGGAGTTCTCCCAGGGGAAACTTTGGCTGGAACCAAGTCCTGGGCATCTGAACCTGCCTAGAATTGGGCACAGTTGCTTAAAATAGCACAGTTGGGCTTTCTTGACTTTCCTGTCTGGAAAGGACACAGGCTTTCTCTTGTACCTTCAGAGCTGGGTTTGGGGGAGGGTGGGGAGGCAAAAAAGTCTGCCCACAGTTTGCCATTTGGGGAGAAATCAATCCCCCCCACCTTGGTGTTTTATTAATTGCATTAAAGGGAGAGAAAGAGGGAGATTGCAAAATACTGGGCAATCAAAATGCATTTTGGAGTCTGTTCTAGAATGCAAAGCTAACCGGTGGAGTCAGGCTTTCCAAGCTGCACCTGTTCCCTCTTTGCCCACACAGTGACAGACATTGGGTCCCTCCTGCTACATCACAGGGAAGAGGTGAGGGCATCCCACATTTCCTTTTGATGTCTCAATGGTGATCTTAGAGGACTCGGCGCCTCCCTCCCCAAATCTCACTCATGCTCCCAACCCTCTATTGGAGGTGTGGGCCATTTCCCCAGAAAAGGAAACTCGCCTGTGGCATGGAACCAGGGGAGCATGAGACTTGGTCCCTTCCGTGCTTGCATGCTGCAGTCCTCCCTTAGGAGAAGTGAGGAATATCCTTTCCAATCCCACCCCTTCATTCCATTATCTTTCACTCTAGATTCAACCAAAGTACCTTCTCAACCAGACCACCCCCTTCACCACCAGCTAGTCTTAAAGACTAGCTCTGAATAATGAACATCTTCCTGCCGGGTGTGGAGCAGATTGGACATGCAATGCCAGTCCCAAAAAAGAACTCGAATATCCTTATAATTAGTTGAAACAGGATTTGATCTGTCGTCAAATATGCAAATATTTTGGCACAGCACCTGGCAGCTCCCAGGCAGTTGGACTGTGTCCTGGGCTCCTGGGACTGTCTGCTTGGCTTCCAGTCAGCTGTACACCCTCCACCCCCTGTGGCTACCATCAGAACTTAAACTCTAAGAAACAGGGACAGTGGAGAAGGAAAAAGCTACTTAAGAACAGTGGCAAGTGTATATGTCCTGTCCTGTTCCCAAAAGTCTTTTTATGAAGGACTAAGTGCCCTAGGGTTTAACCTCCTCTTAATCTGGGAGGAGAGTCCTCATCCCCCTCTCCATCCCCCACAGTCTAGAGAGCTGAGTCTCCAACACAGTTAGCAGGCCTTTCCAGGACCAAGGTGGTACCCTCAGCTTGCTATCTTGCTCTCCTGTCCCACACTCTCCCTTCTGTTCCAGAGCTGGAACCCCAGCTGAGCCCTCTCAACAGAGAATTCTTGCAGGGAGCACAATTGTACCCACCTGCTCAGATAGGGGGTGCTTACTGCTGGGCACTGCCAACGTCCCTCTGTTGGCCTCTCTTACTGATGACGGTCTTCTCCAATTCACTTCCCACCCATCCCTACAGCTTAGCTTCCACACAGGCAGAAATCCACTAAAACCTTTCTCCTCAGCTGGCCTGATATGGAATGAGCCCTGGGGACCTGGAGACGCTGGGGAGAAGTTGGTCCTGAAATTTCCTCTAGGGAACACTAATCCTTACCTCCTTTGTTCCAATCATAGAAGGACCCAGCCAAGTTCAAGCCTAATGTCTTTCCTTTTTTTTAAAAAAAAAAAAAAAGTATGATTGCCTTCTTTTGCAGGAATTAAGCTTTATGTTCCTTGCGGGGCTGCTTTGTGTTGCTTGGTCTTCACTGGGTGTATATTCTTTTCTAAGTGCGCTGTGTCCTTCCTTTGCAAACACCACTGGTGCTCACCCCAGTTTTCTTTTTTTGTGTGTATGTGTGGCTTTGCCTTTCTGTTTTTCCCTCCCTGCATATGCCTCTGTGACTTCTTTGTGGCCTCCTGTTTGCTCACCCTCTTTTGTTTATTGCAGACCACCCCTATAATGACTCGTCCTTACGAAACCACCCTGACATGTACAGTGGTGAGTTGTGGCTGTAACCTTGGGAGTAACCTTGCCTGTCCTAACCCAGTCTGCCTAACTTGACTGATTCTGCATCATTAACTCCTGCTGGGTTGGCAGGGCTGACAGCTAGCCAGGCCAGGTTGCCACGGCAACTCCTCAGGATGCTGCCTGCCAGGAGGGAAGATGGCCAGTCTGGGAATGAGGGGGCTCACACAGAAGTGTAATCTTGCCAACGTGCAGAGCTCTAGTTGCTGAATTCTTAACAGGTGGTTTGAGCCAGGCTGGGGCTCCAAAGAGCTCCCTGTAGGTTTCAGCAGAGGCTTTTAGGAATTGGTGATGGGTGGGTGGAGAGTTTCTGAGAGCAGGTTAGGAGGAAACGGGAAGTCTGGCTCCCGATAGTCATTTAAATACCACAGATAACTTTTTCAGTTTAGTTAACTCTCTTCAAGTGTGTGGAGACGAAATGGCTCCTTAGTCACCTAGAATTTGATTCTGGGAGTGCTACTTCTCTGGTAGGTCGAAGGAAATGGGAGCGCGAGTCCCCTTGGAATGGTATTTGCAGGTGAGTGTAAATGAAGTTGGGCCTCTGCTGACTTCACACAGCTGTGCCTCACCGGGGTAATGTATGCAAATGCATTGCCCACCAGCCCACATTTGCAAGTCATGGAACAATTACAGTGGGACATACTCCTAACATCCCACTGTGGGCCGCTCAGTCTGTTAATAAGAGAATCAGCCATTTTCACACCTGAGCTACCCCCTCACAGTGACCAAAGAATGCCTTGTTTTCCTTGAGCAACCAGAGTAATCAACATTTGCTGGCTCTGGTGACACAGCTGATCCCCATCATCAGTTATGCCTTGGAAGGCTAGGCTGTTGGTCCCCAAGGGTGTCATTGAGGACTCAAACAGATAGGAAGTGCTGGTATGGAGATGTGCTAGTATAAACCATGATTGATGTGGGGGATGGGATGAGGGAGCAAAAGCCAGGAAGAGAGACAAAGTCTCCCACTTGGCACCAAGCAGCGAGAACCACACTGAGATTCTGCCAAAGAGATTTATTGCCGAGAAAGCAGGGGACCTTTCTTTGTTGGAATCTGAGGACTGTTTGTTTTCAAGATAATAGAGCCAATCAGAGCCAATCACAGTGTGTCAAGAGCCCCAGAACACTACCAGGGTAGAATGTGCCTTTTCCTAAATTGGATTCCAAGGAATCTATTCTAAGAAGGATTCTGAAAGCCAGTAGACCTAAGCCAGAAAGTCCCTTAGAGACCATTTGGCCCTCACTCCTTGCTTTATGTAAGGTAAACATGAAGGGAAATGGAATAAGCTTTAGAGATCCAGCCTCTTAAAACAGCATTTAACCAGCGGTCGGTATTATTACCAGAACACGAGTGAGAGTTGTGGAAACCTTCCAAGATGGTGGATTCACAAGAATTTCACAAGAGGCTCACTTGGAGACTCTCCCTTTGTCTACAATCCATGGCAGGATGGGGCTGACCAGGTATGAAGCAAACAGAAAGAAAAGGAAGCCAGGTGAGCAGATAGAGTCAATGTAGAACAAAGGAGAGCCAGGCAATGTTCTAGAAAGAAATAGAAAGGCAAAAGGCAAAGAAGGAGCTGGGTACCAGTGACTCACACCTGTAATCCTAGCTACTTAGGAGGCTGAGATCTGAGGATCACAGTTCAAAGCCAGCCTGGGCAGGAAACTCCATGAGACTCTTATTTCCAATTAACTACTAGAAAACCGCAAGTGGCACTGTGGCTCAAGTGATAGAGCCCTTGCCTTGAGCTGAAGAGCTGAGGGACAGCTCCCAGGCCAGAGTTCAAGCCCCATGACCGACAAAAAAGGGGCGGGGGAGGGGAGGGGGGAAGGAGAAGATTCTCCCTGAACACAGGGAGCTGAAGAGGCTTGGCATTGGTGTCACATGCCCAGTGTGTCGCTCTGGCTTTGAAAGATGACAACTCTCTCTCATAGCATCAGGGTCACCTGTACTATTTTGCCCTGACAATTTCTACTGTGGGTTGATATCCTCTGAACATTGCCCGGGTGCTCCATCCCGCAGAGTGGCAGAGGAAGCCACTTAGGAATGGCTCAGGCAGGAGAGCCGATGGTCCTATGTGGAGCAGGTAGGTTGCGTGGCATCACACAGACTCCAAGACAGACCACTGATTGATGCTACACAAGTCACTTAGTAGCTCAGGACTTTACATTCCTCATCTGCCAAATGGGAATATTGCCAGTCCTATTGGATGGTTGGGAAGGTTAGAGAGGGGAGTGGGGAGATGGCGCCTAGTAAGGTGTAGCATACCAGTGATTAAAGTGTCACTGTAAATGGAAGGCTTTAAAGAGAGGGGTTTCATGTTGCCTATAGAGTTTGTTTCTTGTCATTACTTTGCTTCTCAGTGGTACTGGGATTTGAACTCAGGGCCTAGCACTTGCTATGCAAGGACTCTACCACTTGAGTCATGCCCCCAGCCCTAGTCCATCTATTTCTGAAAGTTACAGCCATACCACTCTGAAAATATACCTCATCTCATCTGAAAATAAGATACACACAGAGAAGTTGAAGCCAAGGGGAGAAAAGCTGGTATACATACAGGAAGAACACACTCTGCAGGGAGAGGTGTTAGAGCAGACTAAAGAAATGTAAGGAAGAAAAGCTGCAGCTACAGCACAAGGGGCTTGAGTTCATCATACAGAAGAAACTTCCTGGCAGTGAGAGGTAACACAAGTTACTAGACAAAAAGTTTATCTACCTTCTAGATTGTTCGGTTAGCCATTCCTAGGGCCAGAGTGGTGGAGGGGATTCTGGGATTGCAGGAATGCAGGAATCCAGCCCTGTGAGTCTCTGGTTCTCAGTTCCAAGAATCAAAGGCAGCAAAGCAGCCTGGAGTAGGATCCAGCTACCCTTAAAAGCTGTTTGTTGGCAAAGGTCCTCAGATACATCTATTCACTGAGCTGCCATCCTGATAACGTAGCAGTTGTTGGAAGCAAACAACCCAGCTTGTCAGTCTTCTTGATCCTTCCCCAGCAGGAGGTGATCAGGAGCCAGTGCTGTTTGGACCTTTAAAGCCAACATGACTGACATAGTGTCATGTCCTGGTATCCCCTAGATGTTCATGAGTCTGCTCTGAGCCATAGTTTATGGGAACAAGAGGGGAATGGCTGTCTTTTGGCTAGAGTCAGGTGGGCCCTGAATCTATAAAGGTTTGGTTCAAAGCTACCAGCTGGACCATTCCTCTTATGTTCATGTAGAGTCTACTTACTGCAGCTGGCCACTTTCCTCTTCCCTTCCTTTTGGCACCAGCCTTCCCATTCCTCGGGGCTCTGTGTCACCCTGACTCTTGTGTCCCTAAGAATCCTGTGGAGATGCTTTAGACCTCTTCTTTTGTCCCCACCTGATTTTTGCCCAGCTTGGGTCACAAGCTAATCCACGGTCACCAAAACGAGATGGAGTCTGAGAGGAGTGAAACATGGCAGGCACCAGAGCGACATTAAGACAGAGGCATCGTCCTGCTTCCCCTTCTGCCTGGAGACTTCGGGTTTGGTTTGAGCAGGAAAGATAGCCCCCAGATGGCCTACCAGAAGTGGGGACAAGAGGACCCTCCGTGTTTACACTGAGAGAAGATTTAGAATAGATGTAGAGTACAGTCTCCATAGAGCCTCAGAAATGGGGGTAATAGCACCCTAAGTCATGAGGTTAAATATGCTGGCAATGTCCAGGCCTGTTAGCACAATGCTTGGCCCTTAAAAAAAGAAATGCCCACTAATGGAGGTCCCAGTGACCACCCCTGCCTTGAAGGCTCTTCCTTCCTATTCTTTGAACCTGGCTTGCTTCCCAGGACCTTCTTCTCCCTGGAGCTGATTCTGGGTTGTGATTCCACATTCCACAAATCTGCTGTGCCTGTGGGCTTTCTACTATCACAGCTACCTTGTGTCGAGGTGCCACAACAGGGCTCTGCGTGGGTCCCTCCTCCTTGTCCTGCCGATCCACTCCCCATGTGTGGTCATGACTGTGTGCTGTGGGGTGGATTAAACGCCTGTGGGCTCACAGATCAGCTTCTGCAGAGTTTGTCCCTGTGTGGAATAGGTGTGACACGGAACTGGGACCTCTTCCACATCATAGCAGGGTTTCCAGCCCTGCATAGACTCCTGTCCTCAAGGTGCCCTTGAACTTGTGTTGCCTTCACTGTGTGGTGATTCATTCAGGGGGTGACCGGGGGAGGGAGGTGGAAGCTGCTGCTTCTGCTGCAGAAGCTGCTGCTGCCTAGGTCCTGAGACCTGGCTCCTGCAAGCACTATAGGTAGAGATGTAACCAATTAACCATATAATGGATTAACCCTTCATTTGCCACTGTTGTGTGTGTGTGTGCACAAGCGCATGTGTGTGCTGGGGAGACAGGACACCTACAAGAAGAGAAAATGTGGGGTAAATGGCTCCTCCTCTTCCTTCACCTCCTCCTGGTGCTTCTCCTCTTCTTCCTTCTCTTCCTCCTCCTCCTCCTTCTCCCTGTTCAATTGCTCCATCCACAAACATTTATTGTCCACTTGCTAGGTGTCAGGAGCCTCAATACTTCAGCCTGTCTTTCTTCTCTCCCCAAAAAGATTAAACAGAAGCAAACTCCCAGGAGATGCCAGAGAAAAGCTGAGTGTCCCTAGGCTAGGGGCCTCCTGAGTCCAGCCAGGCTCCAGCTAACCCAGCAATCACCCTTGGAAAGCAACAGTACCCAGGGCTGGATCTCCACCACTCTGTCCTCTGCCAGCACCGATTAAACCTGGATGAATGCTTCTGTTCTCACTCTGGCATCTCCCAGGGCTCCTGGCAGCTCTGCCTTCCTCCACCTCTGACTTGTCCAGCTGAGTCTAAGACTCATTAAACCCCACAGACAGGCTCAGTTTATGTTTTTATTTAGGGAGAGAGAGTGTATCCGTTTTGTCTTAAGTTTAGAAATTTCTTGCTTTCATCTATCACATCCATTCTATAGAGCTGTACAGAGAACTCTGTAACAGAGGTAAAGCTCAAGCAAGGTAGGGTCCACCCAGACTGGCATGACCCCTCCCACAGGGCGACAGCCATTCTGACAGTATCACCTTGGGAGCTACCTGCCCTTTAAACTGACATGGATTTCATAGATTGCCGCTCACCCACCCCTGGCTGCTCCAGCCTCATTGAATTATAGATCACATCGTCCATCTTGGATGCCACGTTCCTCGCCCCTCACCCGGCATCTCACATGCAATTAACACCCTCCTCCCCCGCCCATTTCCAAAGTCATTAGTGAGGAGACAGAGTGGTCTTGGCCCCAGAGTGATTTCCTTTCATCTCTGCTCATTAATTCTCTCCATGTCTTTGCTAAGCCATTAATAACTCCACATGTGTGACTGTTTATCTGGGGCTTTGTGGCCTCATCCCAGCTCCTTGTCTTCAGGGTCCCAGAGAGCAGCTTGTCTGTCCTGTGGCCCCCAAATACCTGCCTTCTCCATTTTCCAAGTCTGTGTCTGGAGAAGATACCAGAGTGGCCCCTGCCCCCCCACACACACAGGGGTCCAATTCAGGGAGTTGATTTCATACTTCCTAGCCCCTTACACCCAATCCCAGGGAAGGGAGGGTTCCTGGACTCAGAGAATCAAGGTTCCTCTTAGCACACCCTTTCAGAACCCAAAGCTAGTCCCACACTTGTGCTGGTGGGGCCTAGGAGCCCAAGTTTCCTAACACCTCTCATTGCTTCCCATGCCCTGGGGGTGGGCTGGGCTAGGAAGGTCCTGGGAGGGTCCGATGGCTTTTCTCTCTAGCCCTATAGCTTTGGTCTACGTGGGCCAGCCCTCTGGGCAGGAGGCTCACGAGAGCTTTTCTGTCCCGTTGCAGCCCGAGGAGTTGCAGAGAGAACGCCCAGCTTCATGTATCCTCAGGGCACATCCAGCAGTCAGATGGTACTTCGCGGCATGGATCTCCTGCTGGAGTGCATCGCTTCTGGCGTGTACGTACACTTTGCATCCTGCATTAGCCTCTCCAGGAGGCTGGGGTGGGAGTGTGGCCATGCTATGCGCTTGCACATTTGGAGGCACGCCAGTAGTATAAAAAAAGGAAAAAAAGAAGAAAAAATGTGCAGTAGTACATGCCTATAATCCCAGTTTCTCAGAGATGATTGGAAAGATCACAGTTTAAGGCCAGCCTGGGGTAAAAAGTTAGCAAGACCTCCCATCTCAACAAATAAACCAAGATTACTGGTACGTATCTGTGATCCACAGTTACATAGGAGGCTGTAGTTAGTATTCCAGTCTGAGTACTCTTTACCTGACTTATGTAACTGTAACCCTTCTGCACATTACATTTATAATAACCAAAAAAAAAAAAATTTAAGTCGCAGTCTGCCAGCCTGGGTAAAAACATGACCTTATCTGAAAAAAAGTTAACTAAAGCAAAGAGGTCTAGGGACTTGGCCCAGTGACAGAGCACTTGCCTAGCCAGCAGAAAGGTCTGAGTTCAGTTCTACTACTGCCAAAAAAGAAGAAAGAAGGAAGGAAGAGGAGGAGGAGGAGGAAGAGGAATAAAGAGGAAACAACCTCCCTTAGGGAGCAGAACTCTGCAGATCATATCTGTCCTCGTCTGTTCCAGACATATCTGCTTTGAGAAACTAGAAAAAGAAGCAGCTGTACTCTGTAGGTACCTGAGGGTCACATGGGATCTCAGCTTGGCCGCTCGGGTGCTCTGTGACTAAGCACCTCTTCTGAATGGGAACAGCGGGCTCTGAGAGGCCAGGCACCCTCTCAGGCCCATGTACATTTCCAGATACTCAGTGCTTGGTGGTCTAGAAGATACAGGTCACCACTTGTGGTAAGTCCTCTGTTTCCTGTTCGGTCCCTCTTCTAGCCCAACTCCAGACATCGCATGGTACAAGAAAGGTGGGGACCTCCCATCTGACAAGGCCAAGTTCGAGAACTTTAACAAGGCCCTTCGAATCACCAATGTCTCGGAGGAAGACTCTGGGGAGTACTTCTGCCTGGCCTCCAACAAGATGGGCAGCATCCGGCACACGATCTCGGTGAGAGTAAAGGGTACGTTGTGTGTATTTCTCATGATTATTTTGCTAACCTTCAACACCTAAATGCCATGATCTCCCCTTCCCTCTGAGTGGGGGGGCTGGGCAGCACAGTAAGTAGGGAAATTTTTGATGGTTAGGGGCAGCAGTGACCTGCCACAGGTGGTGTCATTCCCTGGGATGGGAGACTGTTGAGGAAAGGAGCCACACCTTGACCATCACAAACTCTCTCAGGTGCCGGGCTCCCTCAGTGGGGGAGTATCCTCTTGTGGCCCATTCGGATCATTCCCAGAGCCTTTTCTTTCTTTCATTTCGCATTTCCGTTCGTGATGTGTTGTCTTGGCCTGTGCTGTCTGTGTATGTGTGCATGGCACGATGCTTCTTGCTAAGGATGGGGAATCATCTTGACCAAAATGATTTCTTGACTCACTTCCCTTCCCCCCCTTGAGCAGAGAGAGCCCACCTGAGCTGTTACAGGCAGGAGAGCACCTGCCTTCATGGGTCCCAGCCGTGTGTGATGGGCTGCCTGAGTCACTTCTCAGTGGGTCAGTGAGCTCTGAGGCCTGAACACGAGAACTTTCTCAACTCCCCGTTGGTTGAACTTGTGACTCTGATTTCAGCACCATGCACAAACAAGGGGCTCTTAATCTTAAGGAGAGGAGATCAAGATCTTTGAGATAGGTGGGAAAATCCACATATCTGTACAGTCACACAATTGTCAAAACATTTGAAAGAGGTGGTCAGTGAAGTACTTGGCTTCCACTGAAGTTCAGTGTCTAAAAGAGCAAATTTAGTCTTTTTTAAATAATCTCCTCTTGCAGCAACAGAAATCCAAAGAGACCAGCCTAGTGAAGTAAATGGAACTTGTCGGTACATATCATAAATGCTATGATCTATAATAGCACCGGCCATAGCTGAGTATGGTGGCATTTGCCTGTAATCCAAGCTACTCAGGAGATGGAAATAGGAGGATTAAGGTTCAAGGCCAGACCTGGAAAAAGTTAATAAAACCCTGTCTCAAAAACAAGCTAGAGCTGGTGTCTCTGCCTATAATTCTAGCTACTCAGAAGGCTCAGATCTGAGGATCATGGTTTGAAGTCAAGGATACTCTCATCTCCAATTAACCACCAAAAAGCTAAAGTGGAGCTGTGTCTCAAGTAGTAGAGCACTAGCTTGGAGCAAAAGAACTAAGGGCCAACACCTGGGCTCTGAGTTCAAGCCTCAAGACTGGTACATACATATAGGAAAAGCTAGGTATGCTAGTGTGTGCCTGTGATAATATTTTCTTAGGAGGCAGATGGCAGAGGATCACGGTTCAAAGCTTGCCCTGACAACGTTAGCATAAGATCTTACATATCCAAAAACTAAACTAAATGTCAAAAGGACTGGGGGCATTGCTCAAGTAGTGGAGTATTTGTTCAGCAATTGCAAAATCACAAGTTTAAGCCCTAACACTGCAAAAAATATTAACAATAATAAACAAATGCACCCATCACTTAGGCATCGCCTGAGGAATCTGACATAGTAGATCTAAAGTGAGCACCAGCACTCATGTTTTAAAAGCCTTTCAGATAATAGTGGCTCACACTTGTAATATGCTACTCAAGAGGCTGAGAGCGAAGATCTTGGTTTGAAGCTAACTTGGGCAGGAAAGATTGTGAAACCCTTATTTCCAATGAACCACCAAAAAGCTGGAAGTGGACCTGTGGCTCAAGTGATAGAACATTAGCCTTGAGCAAAAAACTCAGGGACAATGCCCAGGTCCTGAGATCAAACCCCAGGACCAGCACAATAAAAGGCCTTCAGGCAGGGGACCAGTGGCTCACATGTTTAATCCTAGCTACTCTGGAGGCTGAGATCTGAGGATTGCAGTTTGAAGTCTAGCCCAGGCAGGAAAGCCCAGGAGACTCTTCAATAAACTACTTTAAAAAGTGGTACTGTGCAGGAAGTCATTTTCCTTCAATAAATGACACAAATGGCTGGGGGAAAAAAAGTGGTACTGTGGTTTAAGTGGTAGAATCTTAGCCTTGAGCAAAATAGAAGCTCGGGACCATGCCCAGGCATTGAGTTCAAGCCCCTGGCAAAAATTTAAAAACAAAACAAAACAAAAAAACATTAAAAACCCTTCAGGAACGGCATTTTTGTTTACCATCTACTGACTGCCCAGGTGTAGGCTCTAACTCACTGTCAGTGCACCTGCAAGGCCAAGTAAGCTACATACACACTGGACCAAGTCACTACCATGAAGATAAGCCCTGGTGCTCACCTAGGGTGAAGGCCTGGGGCTGGGACTTGGGCTCCTGCCTTCCTACAGGAGCCTGTCTGGTGCCTCACGCTATATAACTCACCTGCCTATGCTGCCTTTTCTTCCAGCTGCTCCCTACTGGCTGGATGAACCCAAGAACTTGATCCTGGCTCCTGGAGAGGATGGGAGACTGGTGTGTCGAGCCAATGGGAACCCCAAGCCCACTGTCCAGTGGATGGTGAATGGGGAGCCTTTGCAATGTGAGTAGCGAATTACTGTGCCACCAGGCTCTCCCTTGTCCTGTCAGAGGCTCCAGATCCCCACCCCTGTGGAAGCCTAGAAACATTAAATGTGACAGGAAAGAGCCACCGCTTCCAGCAGCCCATTCCATCCCTTCAGACATCTCCAGAGACAGGTGTCTGCCTTACCTTTGCACAAGATACCACTGGAAGTCAGGAGGCCTGGAGCTCTGTGCTTCTGTCACTTGTCCAGGGTGTTTCTGCTCCCTTGGGATTTTCTTAAATCTTTGCTTTCTGCACAGAGTCAAGTTTAGAATCTGGTCACTACAGCTATCTCTCTGAAGTTTGGGCTCTTAAGTGACAGCTAGGGCTTAGAAGGCCTTCCATTGTCATTGCCAAATAAGGCAGGGTTATGTGGCAATGTGCAAGATTATTGTTGAAACCTGGCGCCGGTGGCTCAAGCCTGTAACCCTAGCTACTCAGGAGGCTGAGATCTGAGGATCACCATTCAAAGCCAGCCTAGGCAAGAAAGTCTGTGAGATTCTTTATCTCCAGTAAACCATTAGAAAACGGAAAGTGGAGCTGTGGCTCAAGTGGCAGAGCACTAGCCTTGAGCTGAAAAGCTGAGGGACAGCACCCAGGCCAGAGTTCAAGCCCCACTTGTTGTCGGTCATAGAGCTTGAACTCTGGGCCTGGGCGCTGTCCCTGCGCTCTTCAGCTCAAGGCGAGCACTCTACCGCTTGAGCCACAGCGCCACTTCTGGTTTTCTAGTGGTTTATTGGAGATAAGAGTCTCACGGAGCCGGGTGCTGGTGGCTCATGCCTGTAATCCTAGCTACTCAGGAGGCTGAGATCTGAGGATCGCGGCTCAAAGCCAGCCCGGGTAGGAGAGACTGTGAGACTCCTATCTCCAATAAACCACCAGAAAACCAGAAGTGGTGCTGTAGCTCAAGTGGTAGAGCGCTCGCCTTGAGCTGAAGAGCTGAGGGACAGTGCCCAGGCCCAGAGTTCAAGCCCCACGACCGACAAAAGAAAAAAAAAAAGTCCCACGGACTTTCCTGCCCAGGCTGGCTTTGAACCATGATCCTCAGATCTCAGCCTCCTGAGTAGCTAGGATTACAGTCATGAGCCACGAGCGCCTGACTTGGTCAAGTTTTTAAATCCCATTCTGTTCAGTTGTATTGCTTGTTTGATTGTCCAGCCATAGCCAAGAGCCTGTGGCTCACACCTGTAATCCTAGCTACTCAGAAGGTGAGACATGAAGATCACAGTTGGAAGCTAGCCCAGATTTTTTAAGTCTGTGAGATAATTATCTCTAATTAGCCAGTCAAAAACCGCAAGTGGAGGTGTGGCTCAATGATACAGCACCAGCCTTGAACGAAAAAGCCAAGCAAGAACATGAGGCCCTGAATTCAAACCCCAGTACCAACAGGTGTGCACACGTGCATCCAATCGTTACTCTCTGGAGGAAATATAAACAGTAATAACCAAATGAGGGGGAAATGGTGATGGAGAAGTCCAAAAACAGCTTCAAGACAGCATCTTATAGAAGCAAGTAGAGGGATGAGAAGACCGATGGCGGGGGGAAGGTACACATGCACCTTCTTAGATGTTCATTGTGGGTCGGGAACTGTATTGGACACTGTACCTTGTCAGCTCTTCCATCTCAAACACAGCAGGAGAGGACACAAGCTCCAATGGGTAGTATTGTTCGAAATACTTCCCCCCACACCTTGGTTTCTATGAAGCAGGGAAGCTAAAGTTGCCGAGACAGCAGCCGCCTGCACCTGCCAGTATCTGCCAGTATCTGCCAGTACGGAGCCTCTGGTTATACAGTGACTCTTACTACTATGCCATGCCAGAGAGGTGGACCCAGTCTGCCCACTGCCATTGTCTGTTCTTCTAGATTCTGGGGGCCAATGGCGCTTCTAGCCCTGTTCTAGATGCAGCCTGGGGCTGGCAGCAAAGCTCTGGCCCTAGGAAGGTCACCTTTTACCATCTCCAGGGAGCATCAAGAGGAAGCAACTGGCAGGAAAGTTGACTTTTGAAACCTTTCCAGCAAGGAGGTGTTCAAGTTGCGGGCACTGCCTTCCTCTGTGCATTTTTGCTGAGTGGGCATGATAAGGATTCTGACTGCGTTTTCATTTACCTGCTGCTGACTGCCCAGGTCTGGGCTCTGACTCATGGTCAGTGGTCTGGTGCCCTCAGGGCCAGACTCCTGCTTTCCCCTTCACCCACTCTTCTTGGAGGCCTGAGGATCCTGACTGAGCTCATGACTTCTCTGCCAGTCACAATGTATGCTTTAGCCCAGAAATCCCCAGTGGGTGAAGATGAGGAAAGTGGGCATTCTTTATGCTTCGAGAGAAAAAAAAACAATTTCTCTATTTTATAGCTCGTTATCATTCTCGTATTGTCCCTCCAAGTGTGGAGAGGTGGGAGTGATGTTACAGATGAAAGAAGTCAGGTCCAGAAAGATAACTGATTTGCCCTGGGTGGCCAACGGATGTGAGGACGGAACCAAGACTCCCCAGATACACCCCACCCTCTGCTCTCTGTACCCCAAATCCAGCAGTTCTGGAGAGCTGTGAGTGGAAATGACCTCTCTGTGTGAGGCGATACCTGGGGATTTGGGGAGCAGAACGAGGCGGCAGCTGGCATTGGCTTGCGGGGTGAATGCTGCATGTGTGGAGAAGGCTCTGCTCTGGCCATGGTGTGTTGCATTATCCTTCTCAAGGCACGCTCAGGGTCATGTCTGTAATGATGCTGATAACAGTCAGTACTGCAGGTCCTTCTGCCAGTCACATGGACAAAGACTCAGGTTACCTTCACCAAACCTCCATGAGAGGGAGGTTATTCTGTCCTATGTAGCTCAGGAAACAAGTGGGGTTAGATTCTTGTTTCCAGAGCTGGTATCCTCAAGCTCAGCTGCCCACTTGTTATTTGGGTTGAGCAGGGACTCAGACTTCCCCCAGGAAGACCAAGGTTACGTGACTCAGAACTGCTGGGTCCAGAAGCCAGGCCTCTGGTCCTCACCCAGCACCCAGGGCATATTTCAGAGTCCAGCCAGCACCCATCACTCTGCCCAGTTCTCATGAGGAGCATCTCCTTCTTTCTTATACATAGCGGCACCACCCAACCCAAACCGCGAGGTGGCCGGCGACACCATCATCTTCCGGGATACGCAGATCAGCAGCAGGGCCGTGTACCAGTGCAACACCTCCAATGAGCATGGCTACCTGCTGGCCAACGCCTTCGTCAGTGTGCTGGGTGAGTGCACCCTCACCACCATGTCCCCTCTGCTCATCCACGGCAAGCCTCCCTGGGGTGTATTCTTTCTCTTCTGGCATTCAGCTACACCAGGCAGGGTAAGAGTGGCAGGAGAGGGAAATGGAATGTAGAGACTGAAGGTTTGTGGGAAGGGTGGAGATCTAGAGCTGCATAGAGCCAGAGGAGCAGAGTTAACTCCAGAAGAGACTTCTAAGTCTCAGTCCCTCCTCCCCTGAGGGGAGGGGGGCAGATATCCTCTCTTGAGTATGTCCAGCTTGACTCTGCAGGTGTTCCTTGGGTCTTGGACAGGAGATAGTTCTGAGTACAAGGGAGAAGGTGTGGGCTACCAGATGCCTATGAGCTGGAAGGGCAGCCTCAGAACTTGTTGAATCGTTTGAGGGAAAGCCTTGCAGAAGGAGGTACATGGTAGGCACCTAATCCATAAAAGTCTTCTAGAAGGAAGGCAGGTGCATGGGAGGTATCCAGTGCTTGGAAAGCAGCTGTCAGGAAAAGAGGGAAGAATCGGACTCCACACCTGAAGTCAGGTCTCTGGGAATTTCAGATGTGCCACCTCGGATGCTGTCACCCCGGAACCAGCTCATTAGGGTGATTCTTTATAACCGGACTCGTCTGGACTGCCCATTCTTCGGATCCCCCATCCCCACACTCCGATGGTAAGTCCCAGGAGACCAGGTCCCCGTCATCAGGGGTCATCTGTCTCAGCTTCTGGTTCCTACGTGGTCCGTAAGAGTCATCTAGCAACACATTGGTGTAACGTTTCCAGTCTGATCTTTTGATGGAACCCTTTTATTTTACAAATGAGAAAATCCAGACTTGGAGAAGGTCTGAGAGCTTTTAGGGCCCCCTAGTGGTGGGAGGCCTAGCCTGGGGCTCCTTCCAGTGCTCTTCTCCCCCAGTGTGTGTCTCATCTTGGTGGGTTACTGCCCTCTCCTTTGGGTGGTCCTTTCTCAGTCTGCTGTGTTCTGCTGCTCTGTTGTGAGGTTTAAGAATGGGCAAGGAAGCAACCTGGATGGTGGCAACTACCACGTCTATGAGAATGGCAGTCTGGAAATTAAGATGATCCGCAAAGAGGACCAGGGCATCTATACCTGTGTCGCCACCAACATCCTGGGCAAAGCTGAAAACCAGGTCCGCCTGGAGGTCAAAGGTAAGGGAGCCATGCTCACAATTATCTCAGTCAAGAGGACCCATGCCCCATCCATGCCCCCCACACACACACACCTGATGTTGGATGCATATCCCCCTGGGGCTACCAGTTGAACCAGGCCAGGGAACACCAAGGCAGCTTCTTAACCAGCCTGGTCCAAAGAGTGTAAGGAAGGAAACCTGCTGTCCACCCAGCTCCCCAACACCAAGTCAGAGCCACACTGTGTACTCCCAAGCAATAAGGAGAGAGTTTGAAGGAGGCGAGTAATTTACCCACGGGATCATCCCTCTATTCTTACACCTGCATTCTATGTCTGCTGCTTCTTGGCTGGCCCAAGGCCTCGGGAATGTCACACTGTGTTGCCATGAGAGGATGGTGGGCAGAGAACAAATGATGAGCTCTTCTGTACTTTCCACAGACCCCACGAGGATCTTCCGGATGCCTGAGGACCAGGTTGCCAAAAGGGGGACCACGGTGCAGCTGGAATGCCGGGTGAAACATGACCCCTCCCTGAAGCTCACAGTCTCCTGGCTGAAGGACGATGAGCCTCTCTATATTGGAAACAGGTCTCTGTTCTCTCTTCATACTCCAGGTGCTGGTTTGAAGGGTGTTTACTCTTGTGCTTAGTGCCCTGCATGTTAACCACAAGAGCTACTGAGGAGGAGCGATGGCCTTAACAACTCCCTGTTCCCAGAGGCTACATCTCCACCCTCTTCTTCTCCTGGCTGCTCTATTCTTCACCTCTTTTCTCTCCCCCTTTTCCCTCTTTCCCACTCCTTCTCGCTTTTCTTTTGTCCCTCCCTGCTCTTTACCTTCTTCTTCTACTGCCTCCCAGGCCACCATCCCTGCAACCTTGCTGGTAATGCTTCTGTTCTCCAGTAGAGGGCGGGGTTGCCTAGCCACCACACCCACTGCAGAGCCTACTGGTTCCCCACCCTCGATGCTCCTGGATGCTTTCACTCGAGGCCCCCCCTCTCCAGTGCCTCTATCCCCCCCAGTTCTGAGGTCACTGGGGTAGGGATAGGACTCAGGTGCTGCTGGTGTTTGCGAGTCCCCTGGGTTTCCTAATGTGCAGCCAGAGTTGAGAACTGCTGACCCCAGCCTCCCTCATCTACTGTCTAGAGTACAGGTGGTGCTGGGGTGGTGCTAGCCATTTCCTGTGATGTTTCCTGGCTTTCTGCCGGCTGCACCCTCATTAGTGCTGACAGCTTTACAGTCCTGGACTGCTGTAGGACGTCTTCTCCCTCTGGGGGAGACAGTTCAGAGAATCCCAGGAGCTGATCTCGCCAGGGCACAGGAAGAGACACGGGTGGGCTAAGGATAGACAGGGCAACGTAGGAAAGAGGACAATACTCGTCAGGAGTCTTAACAGTGCCCTAAATTGGGAGAAATGCACAGCACCAGAAAGTCCAAGGGATGGGTACGGGGTAAAGTTTGAGTGCCACTTGAGCTCTGCTCACTTGGCCTTCCTCCCAATTAGGTTCAGCAAGTGCTCCTGGTAACCATGGAGAGGCCTTACCCCTTATCTGCATGGCTTCCCCATCCTGTAGACCCTGCAGCCTGACCCTACTGCTTCTCTCTGCCTTCCCATCTACCCACCAAGGGGAGAAAGCAGTGCCCCACCCTGCCCTCCTGGCAACCCATGCTCTGCCTTGCAGGATGAAGAAGGAAGATGACTCCCTGACCATCTTTGGCGTGGCAGAGCGGGACCAGGGAAGTTACACATGTGTTGCTAGCACTGAGCTAGACCAAGACCTGGCCAAGGCCCACCTGACTGTGCTAGGTAACTGCCTTCACCCGGACTGGCACCAGCACCCTGCTTGTCCCCACTCCCTAGCAGTCAGAGCGGTCATGGGCCCTGGGTAGTTCCTAGGGCGATGCTAGCAGTCAGTACTTACAGTTGCAGGGGTCTCTCACCTCTAGATCTCAGGGTTAGGAGCTGCCACTCTTGGAACAAGGACAGTTTGGGGTTACAGTTTCCTAACTGGGGACCACTGATTCCCCCACCAAATCCCAGCTGAACTGAAAGGGAAGGGAGAAAGTGGAGGGGGAGGGGGGGCTTCTGGGCTTGGCCCTCTTGACCTCCCTTCTAGCCAACTCCATATCACTGTCAACTAAAACAACCTAGCCGTAAAGCTGGGCCCCTGGTTTGTATTTGTGCTTACCTTTCCATGCTGTGCCTGGTTTGGATAGCATTTCGGTGTTCTGTACAGGAGCAAGGTGGTGGTGTCCCTTCTTGTCCTCTGTCCAGGCTGGGCAGTAAATGCTAAGCCATCCAGATCTGAGGGAAAGGTGTCTCTCCCTCCAGAAAGCAGACCCCTTGCTGTCCCACATCACCCCTGTCCTCTGCATAAGTGTTGGCATATTTTTGCCCCCGAGGGTACACTTGCTAGTTGTGATAGACACAGACACTTTAGTTTTACTGGGATTGGAGGAGGGAAATAGGCTCCGCCCACGGCTGTGGAGGGATCACAGATGGCCTCTGGGAGGGTGGGAGGCTGGCCTAGAAGGGAGGGTGCAGCCATGCCTGGAGCACTCCAGCCACCGATTCCCATGCTTCCAGAAGACCTTTAACACCTCTAACCTGCTAACCTGGATAACCCGTCTTACCTTTGCAGCTGATCAGGCCACTCCAACTAACCGTCTGGCTGCTCTGCCCAAAGGTAATTCCTACTAATAAGGGGCCCTGGTCAGTACCCTCTCTGGGCACTCGGGGTTGGACTCTCACAGAGGCAGATGCTTTAGGAAAGACCTGCATTCTGCGGGCTCCTGGCAGTCCCCCATATGCCCCGCCACACGTGACCCCTCGGTGCCCTCATCCACTTGTCCTCTGAGCGGTACCACAGTCCTGCTCTGGGCTGTTCCCGCAAGCTAAACCTAGAAGTCTTTGGCTTCCAAGTTTCACCCTTCTCTTACCTCTACCACATTCACCTTCCCTTAGGGTGTCCTGCTCTCCCCCACCTCAGCCTCAAAAGTGTCACAAAAGCCTGCTCCCCTCAGACCATCTGCAGGCCCACCACTTCGCAAAATGCCTGTATCTGCTACTGGATATCCATTACAATCTGCGTGCATGTGCGTGTGTGTGCAAATGAAGGCTGTCATGACTCAGACTCTAAGCCCTTCCAGTAACCAGCCAAGATATGGAAATAGCTGGTTCAGGGAGCCAAGATGGGAACAAAATGTTGTCCCACCCCCGCTCCCAACACTAGTAGGTGGCTGATAGCTCTCTCCCCAGGCCAGGATGGCACTTAGGAAAATAACCTCAGGGAGATCAGAGCCCCCGATCTGATCAGGATGCTGCCCTCACTCCTGAGTGGAGGCCTGCCGGCCCCTCAGCCATCTCTGAAACTCATATACTAAGTGTCCTTCACCTCCCTGGCCTGGGATTCTTTGTGTCCACCCCATTTTCCTGACCCAAGTGTCCTCCTCAACACTGCACTCCCCTCCTGGGCTCTTGTCCCCTCTGAGTTCCGGACACAGCAGAGAATAAGTGGCATGAGGCAGTGAGATAAAGTCCTACACACCATCAGCTTGTCTCAATGTGAGTGATGGTCTTGTAGAAAAAAACAGCCTTTTCCAGATGTGCGTCCTGCAGAAACAGGATGGGTGGGGTCCGGTTTTCTGCATGTCCAATGCAATCCTCTTTATTTCCTGGCTCCACATTCTTTGATATTCTTAGGCGTGGGACAGAATTTGGGGTCTCTTCTTTGTTCTTTCTTGGCCTTGGCAGCGGGAGGATCTGTGCTAGCCTGGGATTGGTCTCTCCTGGTCATGGAGACCTGCCTGGGGCTGTGGCCACCACAAGGAGAGACTGTCTCTAACTCACAAGTCCTGTGTGGCGCCTTCTCCCTCTGTTGCCAGGACGGCCAGACCGACCCCGGGACCTGGAGCTCACCGACTTGGCTGAGAGGAGTGTGAGGCTGACCTGGATCCCAGGGGATGATAACAACAGCCCCATCACAGGTCAGCTCACGGCCCTGGGCGTCAAAGCCAGACAACACGGCTGGTGATGGTGTGGGATCCAGGGCCTTTCCTGGCATCTGCTCCCCGTCGGCCCTACTTGATGTGTGCACAGAGGCCTTGGCTCCCTTCTGTGTGCTGGGAAGAGTGTTCCGCGTGCCACTCTCCCCAGGGAGAATGGAAGGATGAACAGAAGCCAAGAAGGTTGCTATCCCAGGTTCAGCTCTGCCCTTGCCCTTGCAGACTACATCGTCCAGTTTGAAGAGGACCAGTTCCAGCCGGGTGTCTGGCATGACCACTCCAAGTTCCCAGGCAGTGTCAACTCAGCCGTCCTCCAGCTATCCCCATACGTCAACTATCAGTTCCGGGTCATTGCTGTCAACGAGGTGGGGAGCAGTCACCCCAGCCTCCCATCTGAGCGCTACCGCACCAGTGGAGCACGTGAGTCCTTGAGCTCCCCTAAAAAAGCCTGGAACCCGGAGCCCGAGTTCAAATGAGCTCACCCAATGAGCTCACAAACAGTTAGCTCACTTCTCCAAAGCTCGGTTTCCTCATCTGTGAAATAACAACAACACCTGTATCTCAGGGATGTTAGGAGGCCTCTGTCAGGTGCTTGCATGACAGCTGGTAGGTTGTAAGCACACAGCAGATACTGTCAGGTGTGGTGCTTGAACTCAGGGCCTGGGTGCTGTTCCCAAGCTCTTTTTGCTCTACCACTTTGAGGCACGGCTCCATTCTGATTTTCTGGTGGTTAATTGGAGATCAGAGTCTCATGGACTTTCCTGCCCAGGATGGCTTTGAACCACGATCCTCAGATCTCAGCCTCCTGAGTAACTAGGATTATAGGTGTGAGACACTAGTGCCCAACATTAACTTCATTATTATTATTAATGGTTGCTTAGTTACCTCTTTAAAGGGGGAGAGCTATGGTTAAGATGTACAGCAGAATTATATAATCTGATATTATTTCAGATTCCTTTTCTTAACTTACTTGGGTAGTATTTAAATAATTATACCAGCTCATAGAGGATGGAAATACTCCCCCAAAACCTTAAATGCCAGAGATAAACCCTAATGGTATGAAACATATTTAGTGGATGATCCCTGAAGGAGAAAATCTGCCTTGATTGGCTTATTGGCCACCTATAGTGTGGAAGGCCTTGTGATAAATGCTGTCTGGCAAGGAATTAAAATTTAAAAGAAATTAGCTCTGCATTGGGGGGATTTTCTTTTCATTAGAGAGGCATATCACGCACACAGGAGATTCTGGTATATACCGAAGCTGAGAAAAGCCAGAGCATAGAAGGGCCCAATTAGGTGGAGGAAGGGTTGCTTACCAGGTCCTGGACTTGAGCTTTGTGTGTGTTTGGATTCCAGCCCCTGAGTCCAATCCTGGTGATGTGAAGGGAGAAGGGACCAGAAAGAACAACATGGAGATCACGTGGACGGTAGGAGTCAGCCATTAATGGGCCTGCTCGCCTGGCAGCGGGCACCAGGGAGCCTCTCTCTCTCTCTTCCCCTGCACTGTGTGCTTCTGACCATCAAGCTGATTTTGGTCATTTTTCTTAGAATGAAGGTCATCTGTGTGTTGAACATCCTTGAATCAATCAGGCAAAGTGTCTAGGAGCAGGGTTTCAGAGCGGAGACAGGAAAAAATAGTGACCCCAGCTTAGCAAAATCAGAAAGAATGCTGACAAAATAAAAAGGACTTCCTTTGAAGAAGTGACTCCGGTTAAACTCCAGGAATGATCTGGATGGAACACTAGCACAAGCTTTGGTGCGTGCTGGGAAACTCATCCCAGGAGCATCTGGGGTGTGTTCAACGGAGGCCCTTCCTTTAGTTAAAGATTATACTAAGCTCCTCCCAGGTCAGGATTGGTTCACTGGCCATATTTTCCTAATCCCAATTGGCATATGTGGTCCCCAACTCCTTCTAAGTCTAAGGCATGCAGAAATGGTTACTGAACCCAGCATTTCTGAGCTGCCACCATAAAGAATGAATGCAGAGGACACGGTGATTTGCACCGTGTGGTTATCCCTATTGCTCCAACAATGGTCTCCAGTAGCCTGCCAAACAGAGCCACAGCTCTGGGCTGAGCGCAGCCACTCTGCCCTGCAGGTTCCAGGTACCCGATTCCTGACCAGGTCCTTAGAGAATAAAGAGACACATGCCACCTAGAGCTCTGATCTGTTGGAAAGGACAAGATTTGGGGAAATGGAAGTCAGTTCCGAAAGCTTGAGTTCATCAGTAGGAGGCAAGCTGTGGTTAGACCTAACCCCCAGCCCTTTTGGACTCTGGAGAAGACAGAATTGCCTGTCTTGTTTCCCCCATGCTCCTCTAGCAAAGGGCTCTGTTGACAGTCGCCTGCCATTTCCTGAGCACTGAGATACATGTACTGGCTCTCAGAGTCAGGTGACTGCGTCTCAGGTTAAGCTTCTGTCGGGAAATCCACATACTGCAGAGTTGCCCAGACTCAGGGCTCTTGGATACATGATGGAGGGGATGGACTCTTCCTAGCTGCAAGGCCAGTATTAGGAAACCCAGGCAGGGTGGTTGGCACAGGGTGGGCTATGGTGGCGCCTCATCTATACCCTCTCCACCCTGCCTGTCTGCCTGTCTGTGTGTCTCTGCCTACCCAGCCCATGAATGCCACCTCCGCCTTTGGCCCCAACCTACGCTACATCGTCAAGTGGCGGCGGAGGGAGACTCGAGACACATGGAACAATGTCACTGTGTGGGGCTCCCGCTACGTGGTGGGACAGACACCTGTCTACGTGCCCTATGAGATCCGGGTCCAGGCGGAAAACGACTTTGGGAAGGGCCCGGAGCCTGACACTGTCATCGGGTACTCGGGAGAAGATTGTGAGTACCTGTCCACTCTCCCCTCCCCAGCAGCACTTTCACCACCAGACTACTGTCACAGGCCAGAAACTTGGTGGTGGGATTGGGCCGGGGGGGGGGGGGGGCTGCCACTGGCTCCTAGGAAGGCCAGCTACCTTGTAGAGTGAACTAGAGCACACCGCACTTGGTAGCACACCTGGAAATGCTATCACCTGAACCAGTTAGGAGCAACACACGTCACCACTTGGCTCAGTATACCCACTTCACAGATGCAAAAACCAAGGCCCTATAGAGACAGGTCTTGCAGGATTGTGTAACAGCAAATGTAAAGCTTGAAACAAAGCCCAGGTCTCTGGAACCCCATCAGATTGCTTTCATGCCAAACCATACCAGCACCAAGAAAGACTTCAGGACCACCATGCCAAAGATCGATAGTCAGATGGTCCAAGAAGCGAGGCCCAGGCTAGGCTTCCTCCGCAGGCAAGGAAAGAGGTGATTGAGGCACCAGACCAGAATGTTCCAGGCCAGGCCAGCACTCCCAGGACTGCTTTCCACCTCCTTGAGCATAGAAAGAAAAGTTCTTTGGAGGCTGGCACTGGGCAAGTCAAGATTTCCAACATAGCTGCAGAAGTGTGTGCCTGGCGGCCCAGCACATCAGCCCCACAGGCTCTTGAGCAACACAGAGGATCAGTGGAGGTCCTCCCCACCCCCCAGGTGCCCTTTTGTGTCTGTGTTAATCCAAGACCGGATGGTGAGTGGATGGGGTGAGCAGAAGGGAGGGAGGACAGAAAGCCTTGAGGAGGAGTAGGCTTGGGGGAGGTGTTGGATGCAAAACAAGGCTGTGGTCCCTTAACAATGAGTTGGGAAGAAGTGAGCATTGGGCCCTAGAGGTGGTTGTGAGTGGGACCTCGCCAGATGGGGGAAGGTCAGGACAGAGCCTCTGGCTGTGACGTCCTGGACCCCACCCACAATTCCTACTATATCTGGTTACCTGTGCTCTGCTGTATTGGCGGGAATGGGCAGCTTGGCTTCTGCAGCACAGTAGAAATGTAAGGAGAGGACAAGGGTCATCCAGAGGGCGGGGTTGCCCTTTCCTTCCCAGGGAGCACAGGGACTCCCTTTCTAGATGAAGTTAGGCATTTCCCATCTGTGGGCAGTGCTTCCCACTGGCAGAAAGCATGTGCATTCAAAAGGAACTGCCTATAATGTGCAGACTGTGTTAGAGGACAGACAGCAAGGTACATGACCCTCCTCAAGGGCTAGCAACACCATGGGGCCTCTCTGAGCCTTGAGGTGCAGGGCACAGCTGAGCGCTTTGCGGACCTGCCTCGGGGCCTTGGCCTTGGGCACAAGAGTGAATGCCATCAGCCTGTAGCCCAGCAGATGAAGTTAGCACCCTTCCTTGCCCCTCCCTGGGTGCTCATGTTGGTGTTCCCCATTGGCACCAACCACTGAAGGCTTGAGAACAAGGATACTTGGCAGACAGAACAGGCTTGCGGGCCACAGGGAGGTAGAGATGAGAGCAGATGAGCTCCCTAGATGTGCAGGCAGAGCCCCTCTCACCTGAACTGCCATCTTCTCGTCCCCTACTCCTCCAAGGATGGTTTTGTAGAGGAGACACAGTCCCTGCCCTCCTTGGGTACCTGGTGTCCATGGAGGGAGCGTACAGGCTGGCAGAGGACAAGTCAGAGGGGACCTTCAAGTGTAAGGGCCAGCCTTGCCTGTATAACCTGCTCTCTGTCCCAACATATTACAGATCCCAGGGCTGCGCCCACCGAAGTTAAAATCCGAGTCATGAACAGCACAGCCATCAGCCTTCAGTGGAACCGGGTCTACTCCGACACGGTCCAGGGCCAACTCAGAGAGTACCGAGTGAGGAAGCCACCTCCCACCCCTAACTACCCAGCTTGCTAACCGGGGCCCAGGGGCAGCGGATGCCAGCATAGGGGGCTTGGAAGGGGTCATAGGAACATTCGTTGGATCCAAAGTTGATTCAAGATGATATCTAAGATGAACTGTTCAAAAACACACCCCAAATATGTATGTGTATATACAGCCATAGCTCCTTTAACCAGGGGTGTGTGGCCTAAGAAATGAGTCGCCAGGCAATTTTACCATTGTTTGAACATCATAGCGTCCTCACACAGACTTAGTACACAGAATCACTTGGCATGGCCTCCTTGTGTGTAATCAAGAGATGTGGAAGGGGCTGGGTATGGTGGCACACACCTCTAATCCCAGCTACTTGAGAGGCAGAAGTAGGATTATGGTCTAACAGCTGGCCAGGGGCGGGAGTCCTGGCTCAAGTGGAAGGCAAGGCCCTGAGTTGAAGTCCAGCATCATCAAAAGAAGGAAAAAAAGAAAAACAAGAGAAGCAGAAAGCACAGGTTGTGTGAGGCCGTTGAGCAGAACACCATGGCATTGTACAGTGTCTAAAAAGTACAACATAATGACAGTGAGGACAGCATAGTGAGCACATGAACCAGTAATGCTGTTTCTTATCACGCCAGGTGTTATGCAGGCGCATGATTGTATTTCTGTACATTTACACGGCTGGCCATGCTGTAGGGGTGTGTTTACCACAAGCCTGTCTGTAAGGTGCGGAGGCAGCCATGACATCACTAGGTCCTAGGCTCCTGTCCTCAATGTGGTCCTGCAAGAGCACATCCCCAGCCCAGATGAGCCTTGCAGATGTGTAGAAGGGCTCAGCCTGTGCGGTGGGTTGAGTTGATCTCACACGCACATGTGTGTGTCCTACGTGTGAGGGTGGACATCCATGGATCTTCCTGTGCGGTGTTAAGGTACTATGCCTGTTTCCCAAGTGGCTCTTGGACACCGCCCCCCCCCCCTCCCTGCCTGGTTTTAGAGAGCCACACTACCAAGCCAAGCCACCAAATGAGTGCAAGCACCCTCCCTGTCATCACAGCCAACTCCTCAGCACGCAGATTGCCAGGGCCTGGGCTTCTCCTAGTAGTATCTGATAGGAGCAGTTTCTGCCCAGGCATCTGTCCTCAGAGGCTGGGTAGAGATGGAGAAGGGAGAGAAAGCCTTGAGTTCATAAGACTTTCCCTCAAGTCAGCCCCATTACAATGTCAGCTGGGAGGTGAGAGCAGCTGTAACGGGAGGTTCCCGCTGCTTCTGTGACCTCAGAGGGCACCAAGAGTTGGCTCATAAAGTCGCCTAGCGGTCCATACCTATAATCCAGCCCTCCCAACAGAGGCTGAGGCAGGAGGATATTGAGTTTAAGGCCAGTATGGACTACATAGTGATTTTGAAGCCAGCCTGGGCTATAGAATAAGCCCCTGTCTCAATTAACAAATAGATTTGGCTGATGGACAGATGGGGACAGAGAGCAGGGTCAGCCTCTTGTTGGCAAGTAGGGAAGAGAGAGGTGCCGAGCACACTCCTCCCATGGGCTCCTCCCCGGCTGTTCACTTGTGCCCTTAGTCTACACACCTGGAGATTTTTCTGGCTAAAAGCGCCCCTTAAGCCTGGACTCTTTTCCTATGGACAGCCTGGTGGCACTGCTGCCATGGGCTGACCTTGAGCTTCTTACCCACCACTAATCCAACCCTCGCTGCACCCTGTGACATGGCTACACTCCATGGCCCTCCTGTTCCACCCCAGCCCTGCCTCCACGCAGCTCTGCCCCCACCCCACTGACCTGGACAGCCTTCCCCATGTGCCTGCTCATCTCTACAAGTCTCCAGCAATATGAAAAGAAACCAATTGACTTCAAAGAATTCGATCGACCCTTTCTCACATTGAGACTTGTAACCTGCTGCTTGTCAACACCTGCCCACCTCCATTAAACCATACTAATCCAGCTCAAGGTGATATGGTCTCGGAGCACAGAGCACAGCTCTCCCTGCAGGAACCCCTGGCTCCTATTTGGGGATCTGGCACAGACTCCCCGAGGCCTGTTCCCCAGCTTGGACCTCAGTCTCACGGTGTGCCAGCTCAGATGGAAATGTGGCCAATCACCCATTTCCAAAGAGGAGACGTGGCTCAGAAAGCCAGTGAAACAACAGCCAGCTCCTTGCTCCACGTAAATTCCTATGCACTAGTGGCTCTTGGATGGAAGGGTTGCTTCCCTGCTTCTCCAGCCCCAGGTGGGACTGAGAGCTCACTGAGACTTAGAGCCTGCAAGCAAAGGAAGACCCATTACTACTTCCACCACTAACCACTAACCCTGCCTGCCGTCCCGCACTCACCTGCCTGCCTCTGTCCCGAAGGCCTACTACTGGAGAGAGAGCAGCTTGCTGAAGAACCTGTGGGTATCTCAGAAGAGACAGCAAGCCAGCTTCTCCAGTGACCGCAACCGAGGTGTGGTGTCCCGCCTCTTCCCCTATAGTAACTACAAGCTGGAGATGGTTGTGGTCAATGGGAGAGGTGATGGGCCTCGCAGCGAAACCAAGGAGTTCACCACTCCGGAAGGAGGTAGGTCTGACCTGCAGCTCTTTGGGGTGGACAGGATGAGGGTAGCAATGCACTGGAAGGCCCGGAGTGGCTCCAGCGATGCTCAGCATGGATGGCGCAAGGTGACATCTGCATGGCCTCAAGATGTTGACGCAAGAGCCAGGCACCGGTGGCTCACACCTGTAATCCTAGCTATTCAGGAGGCTGAGATCTGAGGATCGCCATTCAAAGCCAACCCCGGGCAGGAAAGTCTATGAGATGCTTATCTCCAGTAAACCACCAGAAAAGCAGTGGCGCTATGGCTCAAGTGGTAGAACGCTTGCCTTGAGCTGAAGAGCTGAGGGACAGCGCCCAGGCCCAGAGTTCAAGCCCCACAACCAACAACAACAAAAAAGAAGTTGACAGACTTCTGCAGACAGCCTGCAGGCCGAACAGCGCCACCGTCGCACCGAGCAGCCATCGCCAAGGCAACCTGCCCAGATGGGCGGTTTGTATGAGAGACCAAGGGCAGCCTATGAATCGAGCTGCCTGGAAGACTTGTTGGCCCATGGCCTTCATCCGCCTCTCCGCAGCCTCAGGACGCACTGGTGAAGGGGCACCCTGTGCACGTGGCGTCTGCAGAGGGGTGCAGGTGCCCCCGCTCCCTCCTGCACGCCGTGGCCTTCTCCATGCTGACGCCACACATCCGTGAAGAACCTGCTCCATGTTCTCCAGGCCTCCTTTTATCCACTTCACATTGGCCTTGCCTTCTGTTTCTCTTCCTTCCTCCTTAACTCCTATTTCCCCATTCTCCTCTCCTTTGTTTTTCTCTTATTTTCTCTTTCTTTCTTCCCTCAATGTTTTAATTGAAAACATGGTATTATAAAGGTGATGTGCAGGGGGGCTACAGTTAAACTTAAGTCAGGTAAAGAGTACATTTCTTTCTGCAAAGTGTCACCCTCTTATGTTTTCTTTATGCCCATCTTTGTTTCCCCTTAGCTGGTTTTCCTTGACTTTCACCCCTGAAAGTGTCCTTGGCTCAGAAGCCTGGGCCTGTTCCGGGACCCAGTGGCAAGACCTTATCTGGGAATTGGGCTATAACCAACTCATGATTGGTTCTCTTCCCAGGACTGGCTCTGGAAATGGCTCTGCCTGGTTTGCAGGGTTATCTGCAGGATTGTAGTCCTAACGTGTGCCAAGTACAGGGTAGAGTTTGAGCTGTGCCCACTGCCCTCATGTTTCTGGTTGAGCAGCTGTCTGGCATGGGTGTTGCCCAAGACCAATGTCTTCATGCTTGTGCATTGTTTCTTGTGTCCTCCTCATCCTCCCTGCCTCCCTCCTCCCCTGCTCTCTCCTCCTTCCCCAAGTACCCAGTGCCCCCAGGCGTTTCCGAGTCCGGCAGCCCAACCTGGAGACAATCAACCTGGAGTGGGACCACCCGGAGCACCCCAATGGGATCCTGACAGGCTACATCCTCAAATACGTGGCCTGTACGTCCTGCCTTCACACTCACTGAGTAATCTGGTGGGGGGAGAGGGGAATCAGATCCCATTCTGATGGTCCCCACTTTTCCTGTGAGGGTTGGGAACGTCTGGTCCCCCGGGCTTATAAAATGGAGAAGTCATTTGGTCGTGACAAGACAGACTCATGTTTTCATCAGCTGCCTGAGCCCCAGCTGCCTGTATGAATAATTTTTGTATGGCCAATGAATGCTTCCAATATCCAAATAGCCCAAGGCAGAAAAGACGTTCCTCACCCTCTAAGGAATTGAGAGAAAGTCTGAGGGTGCAGAGGGCTTTGTGGAAGAATGGAGAGGCCAAAAAAGGTCTCTCAGAGGGTGACAGAAGGCAGGCGAGGAAAATCGCTGCGCTCCCTATAGAGCCCCGTCTTGGGTGACAGCTGGGACAAAAGAGAATTCTGGTTTAATGACTCTAGGGGATGTCGTAACTCCAGCATGGATGTCCTCATCCAATGGCATTTCCATCTGAGGAGCAGACAATGCATTCTCAGGCATCCACAGACACCTTAAGAAGGTGACGTTTGATATAAAATGGCCGTGCCTGGAGCAGCCGAGAAATGTGGAGTGACTCAGATCAGGGGCATGTATCCAGAGAGCATCACCACTCAGGGGCTGGAGCCATTACACTTGAAAATCTTTAAGCCTTCCAGTGTGGGCCATGCTGTACCTCATTGGGAAACTCAGGGCTCCAGATCTTGTTAATGATGTCACTAGCACATACACTCTTCTGGAAAGGCTCTGGACCAGTATCTCACAAAGAAGGCAGTTATCATTAGAGAAGAACTCAAGAGCATCATCCCTGCTGAAGTGTTCAGGAATCTTAAACTAAATCTATCAGAATCAGCTATATGCAGTAAGCTAGAGATACTGGGTGGGGTAAAGAACTGACCTAGGGATATAATCCAAGAGCAGGAAGGGGTTTTTGCCCAGTGTTCTGCCTTTGACCCATCCCTTGGACAGCACCAGCCAGGGGCCACTGGTTTCCTTTCCAGAGATCGGGAGAGAGGGGTCCTTCCAGCTGCCAGCCTTGTAATCCATCACAGGACTCCAAAACTCCCACTCACTGCCTTTCTCCCTGCAGTTAACGGAACCAAAGTGGGAAAGCAGATGGTGGAGAACTTTTCTCCCAATCAGACCAAGTTCTCGATGCAGAGGGCAGACCCTGTGTCCCGCTACCGCTTTACCCTCAGCGCCAGGACGCAGGTGGGCTCTGGGGAAGCCGTCACAGAGGAGTCTCCAGCACCTCCGAATGAAGGTAGGTCCGTGACAGTGGGGCGAAAGACCCCACCCAGTTCAGATACCTAGAGACACATACCGAGGGCTGGGCCTCAAGTCCCTGGTAAGAGACAAATGGCTGCTGGAAAAGCCAGATGTCCTGAGATACAGTCAGACCTTAATTTGCTCAGCAACGTAACACCAACCATCTTTTCTTCCAGTAGAGAAATAAGGAAGAAAGCATGAGTTGGAAATAAATGTGCTAATGAGCTCCAAAGAAACTGTTTGCTAGTGAAGGAGGCAGGACTATTAACTGGGAGAGCACAAGAGGACTCTTGTCTTCTGAGGGGCAAGGGTCTGATTGCCCAGATCAAGAGTAGAGCAGAGAATGTGGTTCCTCCTTGCAGCCTGACTTGGGTGTTTTCAGGCTGTGGAGAAAAGGGGAAACTTGTCATCAGCCCTTTGCCAAGCCAACCTCAAGGGACCTGGCATGTCCCCCACCAGAGCTGCACCTGCCTCAGGTCTCCACTAGAGGGCACTTCAGGCTCGCCGGCACGTGCTGGCTGGGGGATTTCGTCCTAGGAATGCAAGTCTGAAGAAAACCTCAATGTTGACAGATGCCTGTGAAAAGACATGGACCCTCCTGCCACTCTAAATGTATAGTGATCTATGCCACAGCCATTTCTGGAGTCCTCAGTGTGTTGAGACAGAGATTGCCAGGAACAAGGGTTACAAAAGTAGTAGGAAGTTCATGTGATCTAGAGACAACCACCAGAATATGTGGTTGTATGCTTAGCATGGACGAAGGGAATGAAGGCCAGGCAGAGGAAGGGACTCCTTCAATGTGACATCACAGAAGGGTGACGCCAAGCTATCATGTCGAACACTTTCTCCAGAAGGCAAAGTTCCCATAGCCTGGCCCTAACCTGGATGGGGCTCCTGGATGGGCCTCCCAAGCAGAGCTCCTGAGCACCTCTCTAGCCAGAGGGGCAACATTCCTCCCTCTGGGGCTGCTGCCACTGTGACCCCAGCCCAGGTTCCCTGTGCAGCTTCTTCGGCACTCCTGCATTTCTTTCTGCTCAGCCCCTAGGCAGACCCACGAGGGTCTAGGCAAAAGCAGAGGGCTGGCCATTCTGCCTGTGTCCCTCAGCTCTTGTGAGAAGTGAGCCACACAACAAGCTCCCATTCCTGGTGTCCTATTCCAACCCCTGGGCACTCAGAAAGTTTATTAACGCTGGGGGACTTTAGGTAAGTGACTGCTGGAGCCTGTTACCAGAGGCCGAGCCCTGTCTCAATAGCTCTGTGTGGAGATAGAAATACAGGATGCCTCTTCCCCACCCAACCCAGACGCCAGACAAAGCCCCATTATCCAGCTCCAGTGACAACTGCTCGGAGACTTCTGCAGCCCCAGGGCACAAGAGAACAGAGACTTTTTCTTCTTAACTTTGGAGTTTGTGGGAAATTCATGGATCTGCACCCCAGGGTTCTCAGTGTGCACTTGGGGTCTTCATTTCATAAAGTACAAGTAGGGAAGATGGGAGCAGCAGAAACCAGGGGCTTCAGGGTTTCAGAGTTTGCTATTTGCAAGCTGTAGATTGGGGGGGGGGGGGGCGCGGGGGAGACCACTGAACACACACACACACACACACACACCACAGATGCCTTCTTATCTTCCTCAACACTAGCGTTTTTCCAATGAAGACACCGGCACTATCCTTTTGACCAGGCTAGGTGTTCTCCTGCCCCGCCCACACCTTCCACCCTCAATTTCCTGCATCTTAGAGGGTCACACAATGCAGCCAGAGCAGAACATACCCTTGAAAAAAGTGCCAGGGACCTAGTATCCTGGAAAAATTGCCCTTACTGCCACCTCCTAGGTGAGGAAGCTTGAATAGGATTAGGAGAGTGTGTTCACAGGTCTCCAAACCCCATGTGGGAGGTAGGACCCTGTCTAATTCTGGGCAGAGGGGGGCTGACTGTGACCCCTGAATACCAGTTGACCTGCTCAGGGTGGCAGCCAGAGCTTAGCCACACAGTCAAGGTGAGCCCAACTTCCTCCACCTGCCTGTCCTGTGGTTTCACCTGTGCTCTGTTTTCTCTTCCCTGTCTCATCCTCTCCCCTCCCTCTCTCTCTCTCTCTCTCTCTCTCTGGCCATCTTGGGTGCTGCGTCTGAAGCTACTCCAACCGCAGGTACTGTACCAGCAGCAGAGGTAATGGGCATAGCATGGGGCTAAGCAGGTGCCGCCCAGCCCAGCCTGGGTGGAGCAGGAGGAAAAGGCTCAGGCCAAATGCATGCTTCAACTCACCCTTTCAATGATGGGAAAGCCAGACTTTCAAGGAAGGTGTGCATGGCGCATAGACCCGAGAGGGGCAAGCATGTCCTCCCCCTTTCATTTAAGGATTGCCCCCACTGAAAAGGAGGATGGCTTAGAAAGGATGCTACACGTAGGCTCCCAGCCCTTCCTTGGAATTGCCATTTTCTTTGATGCTGAGTGATTAATTCCCTTGTCTGGGCACAGAGATGGCCCTGGAAGGCATGCCGAAGCCGGGACAGCTGGCTCCTGGCACCTGGTCAGGCCACCATCCCTTGAAAGGGTGAGCATGCTGTGCATGCCGGCCCTGCATGCTGCATGGGGGCTTGGCACCGAGTCCGCCAGCGACCACGGGCTCTAGTCAATGAGAATAAATGAGCGAGTGAGTCCTTGAGTAGGGCCGGGGGCTCCAGGACCTGGAGTCTCAGTGCGCACCATGGGATGATGGTCCCCTCACTCCTCCAAGAACGAGCTGCTCGGAGTCATTAGTGTTGAGAACGCCCTCCACTCTTGAGGCCTGGAGGTAGCGCTGTGGCAGAAGCCAGCAGCTGGGCAGGCAGCTGTGACATAGTCCTTAAGTCTGCATGCCATGGGTTTGAGGGCCATCCAAGGGCTTTTCGCCACACAGGCCCTGTCCCTGAGTTAGGGACTCTAGGCAGGGGTGCCACCAGGATCTCTTCTCTCTAAGTTGCCCCAGCTGGGAGCTGTGGATGAGGCCCTGCAGGGGCACAAGGCCTGTAGACAAGGGCTCCCCAGGGACCCTGCTAGGAAGCTCCAGGGAGCGGAGAGAACCGAGAGCCAGGCAGAGACGGAGGCTTGGCTTTGGAAGTAGGATACCACCTTGCCCGATTTGGTTTCCTCCCACCTCCGCTCCTTTATCTCCCCACCCCCTTTCTGGGTTGATTCTATTTCTGTTGCATACACCCTGCTTCCTTCAATCCGCCTGTGTTTTGCCAGCCGCCTCTGTGGGTGCTTCCCTCCCCCAGCCGTCTGCCCCATGGTCACTCACGCGGCCAGCCAGGCCAGCACCTCCCCCTAGGTCTGAAGCCCCCTCTGCTAGGATGTGAGACACAGAGATGGTCTTAGGTCTGGGTACCAGGGAGAGAGCAATCCTTGCCACACTTCCTGGGTTGGTTCAAGTTTATAGATGAGTCTCTTTTTGCAACCAAGACAGCAGGCAGCCTAAAGGGAGAGAGGCGGGGCCAGCCCGAGAAGAGTCAGGGCAAAGCTCATTGGTCAAGTTCATTGTCCCCTCCCCCATCCTGGCACCCTGGGCCCCAAGACAGGTGGGTCCAGCGGTAGGGAGGCTGCCTTGTGGAGTGGGCATCTGTGCCCATCTATGCTGCCCTCTTGTGAGTGGCAGTCACAAAGGGAATGAGAAATGTCATTCCAGACACCCCACGTCCTACTTCCATTTAGCAAGATCCAACCTCTCGTGGTATGTGCAAGGAACTCGGGGCTCTGCCCATCCATCAAGCATGCCTCCCAGGTTCTGGCTTCCACGTGACTCGGTGGCAAGGGGCAGGTTGCACTTTTTTTTGTAAATGAGATATGCCAATAATATCAGCCTCCCCATTGCATTCATAAGTACCTTCTGCACGGGCAGTGGGTGCCAAAGCTGGGACGCTCAGGTTCTACATTTCTGACGTGGGCCGGGCACCCAGCCCACCTCTCTCCCTTCTCATCCTCCCAAACCTGGGCGCCTTTCCCCACAACCCATCTCCTCCCATCTCTCTCCTCCCCTGAAGACTGTATCCACAGTCTGTCAGGATCGCTGCCCATCTGCCCGACAATCTGTGGCTTGGCCATGGTGGTTCGCACGCCATGTGGGCGCTTTTGACCAAACATTACACCTTGGAATGTCTGGAAACTGCTCTCCTCATCTTCGATGTAGCTCAGATCTGCAAATGTTTGCTGGGTTTCTGATACGGGCTCAGCTCCGTGGCAGATTTGGGGGACAGAAAGTAAATGAGACATGTCATCTTCCCCAAACTAGTAGAAAAACCCTTGGCCCATGGAGTTGGTTCTGCCTCTGTTTTGTTTTTTTTTGGGGGGGGAGAGACCTTTGAATTTTCTAGACCCCCCTGCTCCCCGCTCTTGGTTGCCTGGTGGTGGTTTCCCCTAAGCACTGACCAGGACTGTTTTCAAGCTCATTGTCCTGCTGTGGCTAGAAACAAAAAGCAGCCCGGGAACAAGTCTGCCTGGCGCATGCTTGCCTCTGCTATTAAGTCAGCCCCCTGTGGGGCTTCCTGCCCTCTGCCCTCTCCCCAGCTCAGCCCAGGAAGGATGACTGGTTCTCCCTTGACCAGGCCACGGTGGATTTCTCCATGGAGAGCTTATCTCCTCCTACACCTGTCCCGCCTCTGGCAGCTCGCCTCCTGGCTACCATGCCTCCCCTCCAGCCCTTCCTCCCTGCCACTGCCCTCTCTGAGGTAGCCCTGCCTAGCCCAGGGACCACAGGCACAGATTATGAGCGGGACAGCAGGTGCTTGATTTGCCAGCGGTGACCTCGGCTGGCGGAGGTAGAAATCTGATGGTGAGCAGAGGAAGCCACTAGGATGGCAGCTTCTGCCTTCTCTCCCTCCCTGCGTCCTCTCACACCCTGCCACGGAGCAGGAGGGAAAGCAGCCAGGTTCCCAGCCCCAGAGAGAGTCGCTGCCTTCAGAGGGGGTGAGCACCCCCAAAGTCATTTCCCACTCATATCTCTGAGCAGTTGTGCACAGTGAG